ATTTCGAGCAATGAAGGTACTGTACGAATGTATAGTTTACTCATGACTACAGAATTAAGTTCTTTAATTTCTTTGTTAGAACTGCCCCATCCTGTATTGTCGACGAAATCAATCATAGGTACTATAGTTTGAAAATACACAGTTTTAAACTCCTCAGTTGGTGTGCAGTATTGGAACATAAGTAAAACTTCTTTCAAAAAATAAGGAAATGAAAAAGTGGGAACATAATCTTCTATAAACGACTTAACAATAGTATTTACATCAGAATGAATGGTTAACAGCAGACTAGGTAGTAAACAACTGTTTACTGTGAATGGGCTTTGATCAATTTCTGTTAGCAATAAAGCCTCAACTTCTTCATTGTATCCAAAATGCTTGTACATTAAGTATACATCATTGCTTTCTACAGGCATTGAATGAGACAGAAATAAATAAATGATCTTAATTCTATCTTCTTTTGGTACCATTCGAGCAGCTAAGCCTTCAATCACAGAACTAAAGGGATTTCTTGTCAGACATACATAACTATCTACAATATCAAATGCAATATCAGACTCAAAAATTTCATATAAACAGTCAATCCATTCGTTCACATTAAAGTGACAAAATTCAGAAAAATATAAATCTAGTATAGGAAATGAAGTACAGAAAATCACTTCTTTGTCCATCCTCAACCATAATTCTTTAAACATAGTAGGGTCTTTCCAAAATATGGCATCTTGCAGTGGATGATCACCTAAAGTACTCACATAATTCACATCACCACCTCTTTTTATGATTTCAAAAGCAATAGGATTTTTAAAAGACAGTGCAAGCAACAGTGTACTTGATCTTAAATGGTCTTTTGTAGAAATATTAAAGTCTACTTCATACTCTAACAGTTCCATTGCAGCATCATAACTGTGAAGGCTTCTCATGAATGGAGTGTAGCCATCATCACATCTATAAGTAGGGTCTGCTCCATAAAATAAAAGCATTTGAATAATTGGAACTTTCACTGGATCAGATACTGCTTCATGTAAGGGAGTTGCCCCATAAAAATCAGCTGCATTAACATTTGCACCATGTTTGACAAGAGCTTCACACACCTCTAAGGAATTTTTGGATACAGCCAACTGTAGTGGTGTTATAAAATCATCATTAGGAATTGTTACATCACAACCTGCATTTATAAGTTTAATTGCTGGCTCCTTGAAGTTCTCCAATTGTAAACTGAGACTCAAAGGTGTTTCTCCCAAAAACTGCACGTTCAAATTTATATCTGGACGTTGCAACAAAATATCAAGAATATCTAAGCTGAAAAAAGCATTATCAAGAAACTAATCAAAAAGAAAAACATTCAGCTCATACTTCTCAACTAAAATTACGAGATGGATTAAAGAAAATCCTCTCTCATTAGGGTGATTAATATCCAAGCAGTTATCAACTAATTCCTTAAACTTCTCCACATCTCCAGTATGTAGGGCTTTTATAAGGCAGTCTATCAAACTGTTTGGCCAATTTGGCCACAAATTCTTCTTTATATTTACAATTTCTCTAGCATAATAAAGTAAATGTTCATAGGCACTCATTCTGCATTTAGAGAGATTTAAGTTTTAATAAATCACTTATTAACTTGTTGTTTTCATATAAACTTCAAACATCAGCTTATGTGTGGTTATGTTTTTTGTCATGGTCATTTATCATAGATAAAGTCATTTATCAACCACAATATAAACCACAGATAATATCTTAATAATAACTTATATAATAACTAGTTATTCCCCGCTACCAGACACTGTGAGCTCGAAACTGTTAGCACCATTACTTCGAGTGGTTTAAATTCACTTTTGTAAACAATACTATGACGTAGTGTCGGCCATCATTCTTTTCTAATTGTTGCAGTAGTCGGCCATCATTCTTTTCTAATTGTTGCAGTTGTCGGCCATCATTCTTTTCTAATTGTTGCAGTTGTCGGCCATCATTCTTTCTAATTGTTGCAGCTGTCGGCCATCATTCTTTTTCAATTGTTGTCTCACTGTCACTGATGTCGGCCATTATGGTTTTTAATAGATGTATAGTAATCAATGACTAAAATTTAAAGGAATTGTTTGTAAATAGGTATGCAACACATCGTACACTTCAGCATAAATTGCTGATACTAGCTTTCATTTTTATTCATATTTGATAATAACTTGTTTAATAAACATGTCTAGCGTATTGCACGGGAAATTGGCACTTATAACTGGTAGGTCAAATTTATACTAATTACAACCGACTTGCTTTATGTTTTTAGAGGATTTTTCTTGTATTTTTATCCTGTAAATATTCAAAGATACAGTATTTTAAATAGATTTTGTAAAATCAATAACATTGATTTTTAATATGAAAGGAATAAACCGTTGGCACACTCTATGGTTATAATACCTTGACACAGAACCGTACTCTGTTTAATTTAAGACTGGTAAAAAACAGCAGGGTTGCATTCAGGCAGATTTAAGTATCATAATTAAGAACAAACTTTTGTTTTTTTAATTAGGGGCTGGCTCAGGTATAGGTAGAGCAACTTGCCAAGTTCTTGCAAGAAATGGTGCTCAAATAATTGCAGTAGATGCGAATGAAATTTCTGCTAAGCAAACCATCGATACTTTATCTAATAGTCAACAAAATATAAGTTTAAAAGTGAATGTGGAAGATTCAAATTCTGTTAAGAAATGTTTACAAACAATTTTAAATCAACTTTAAAAGCCACCGACTGTGATAGTCAATTGTGCGGGAATTACAAGAGATAATTTTTTACTTAAATTATCAGAAGAAGATTTTGATGAAGTTATCAACGTCAATTTAAAAGTATGAATAAACCTCTTACTAAAAAAGTAATCATTATATGAAAAAAAAACTCTTTTAGGGAACTTTTCTTGTTTTACAAACATTTGCTAACGTCTTGGTCGAAAATGAAGTCAAAAACGCGTCTATAATAAATTTAGCAAGTATAGTAGCAAGAAATGGTAATATGGGACAATGTAATTATGCTGCAAGTAAAGCTGGGGTGGAATTAATGACTAAGACGGCAGCAAAAGAACTTGGAAAGCTTGGGATTCGTTGTAACACCGTTTTACCAGGATTTATATCCACCCCAATGACCGACGCTGTTCCTGAGAAAGTAAAAGTGAAATTGCTTGCTGGAATTCCTTTAGGAAGAATGGGAAAACCTGAAGGTAACTTTACTAAAAGCAATTACCTAGGAAATATAGTACTTTATTTTACTGCATCAATTCTGAAAAATTAAATCTCTGAATTTAAGTTGCGGTAAAATTTACTTTGATTTGTTTACAGAAGTTGCAGAACTGATTGCTTTTCTTGCCTCAGACAATAGCTCATACATAACAGGGAGTTCAATCGACATAACAGGTGGATTAACATAATAATATGATAATGTGTTATACAAATATATTGTGTATACTCATATTTTACAATTATAACAAGTAACTACTGTTTACCTTTCTTTTTTAATTTTTTAGCTTTTCTCCATGCCTTGTAATCGGTTTTTTGTTTCTCCTCAATAATTTCTTTGTATTTTCTCTTGTTGTATTTACTGAACTCTGCATCAGCCAATAACTCATCCACCAGAGTCCTTTTCCTCTGTTTCTTAGGTATTCGATTGTTATAATGATCTAGAGGAGAATCCAACACTTTACCAATCTAAACAGAAATTAAAATTAGTACTTAAAAATGAATTAGGTTTATTTGCAGTACCTGAAAGTATTTTGGCAACACTTTCAGATCATTTTTTTTGTAAAAATGTTTTGGATCTAATGCTGAACGCATTTGCAGAACTTCTAGATCATGTTTAATTTCCTCTGTTACTTCAGTGGCTGGTAAACCATACCATTTTTCACCCTTGGTCTTTTGCCTTTCTTTCTACACAGAAAATAAAATTAATATAGAAATATAAACTTATGTTGATATTTGAATAACTTACTTGTCTCAATTTCCTTAATCTTTTTTTAGATACTTCATATGGTGGTACAGAATGTAAGGACTCAAAGTCAGGTGTAATCACAGACTTTTTCAATACATCCTCTAATTGTTTCTTGCGTAAATAGGTCTGTTTCTCTTTTTTACTAGAAAACTTTGATAACTTTACATCTTTAGAGAACAAATTAAATTCATCTTCTACACCATGTGGTCTCTTTTCACTTGCATTTGGACGTTCTTTTTCATTCTTTAGACTTTCTTTATATTCTTCTAATAGCTGCTTTGTCACAGAGTTGTTTTCTAAATAGTAGGTTTAATGTATACCATGTTATGAGAGAAAATTAATGAAATATAATGAAACTTACGAGCTGTATCATCTTTTAAATCACCAACGGTATCAATTATAAAGTCCATAATTTTATTTTAATAAATTAATACAAAAAAACATGAGATATTTCCACCAACACTGACGTTTAACAAGGAGGTTATATAGAGCAAAAAGAAGAATAAGAGGATGTGGTTACTATGTCATGTAGTCTGTACTTATGGTAGTGGATACATTTCAGCAAGAATTAAAAAAAAATCAATCAGGTCTGCATTTAAGTTTCTTATAATGTTTTATCACTTTGTTAAGCAAATTATTTAACTGAATAAAAATAAAAACACTAGGAGAATGTTTGCAAAATATATTTTGCCTTTTTTTACATAGGCAATATTGCCATTTCATATTAATAAATGACTAGAGAAAGCCAAAAGCTCTTTTTTTATAATGTTTATACAAATTTTCAAACATAATTCTTTAGTAAGTACTTCATTTTACGTTTTTTATAAACAATTAAAACGTAAGTAAAAAATACACATCAAACACACAGGTACTAGAAAGGGCAAGGAATATCCGAGCTAGTAAAGTACCTTATCTTGGTAATTATTATAAATAATTAGCCTAATAGTACATTTTTATATATAAAAATACAAATATTCACTTAATATCAATTTTGCACCGACCTATACCACAGCACCTGAAAAACAACTGTTTTTTGTTTTCGTTTATTGTTACAAATATCCGAGTTAACGATATTTGTGTTATAAATAAAGTATGGCAGTGCAATATATATACTTTTATCACTAGATAAACATCTATATTGTGAGGTCTTCCCAATCTTCTCTTTCTCTCTGCGTAAGAAGGACTTCTATTTTATTTATTCTGCAAAGCAGATCGTGGCAGCGGGCAGTCAGGGGATTCCTCGTAAGGTCGAGCTTCATAAGTGAAGGCGCTTCTTCTATGTCTTCTGAATCTACATCTGAAACAATAAAACAAAAGCTTAATGACAATGTCAGTCCAATAGATGGCGTTAGGATAACTTTAAGGTTATAAAATACCCACCAACTATGTGATTATTACTGGCATTAAGTTCTTGCAGTCTTGGAATTTTAAAGATAGCACTTGGAAGTGACACGAAGGTGTTAAATGAAATGTCTAGTCTTTCGAGATTAGCCATGCTCGCTATTTCGTCAGGCAACTTTGCCATCTGATTGTGTGATAAATTTAAATCGGTTATCAGGCTAAAGTTGGTCGTGAACTTTGGCGTTATTTTTGTGATATCATTTTCACTAAGATCACAGGTTTTCAGTTCTGTATGCCTCATCAGGTGGTATACCGCATCCGGTACACGCATTAGTTGACAATTAGAGAGATCTGTAACAAAATAAACGCACCCATTAGATTTATTATGCAATTAAAGTATTTTTACACTTTATATTCTTTAGGATTATTACTAATAAGACTATAATCATAAAATGGAACAGTTATTTCAAAGCTTTCCGAGTTTTAATGCCGGAACTGGGTTAATAAAGCGAAATTACGTAATTTTTAATAAAAATCATTAGTACATGTAATTCGAGGATAATATTAAAAATTGTTGTAGTTACTGATTAATAATAATTTAATTACCCAGATTTAGGGTTTCTAAAGCGTCCTCACATCTATGCACAACACGTGTAACCTGGTTCGCCATTTTTAAGTCGAGCTAAGTAACGAAACGATTTCGTTCGTACAATGTTGTAAAATAATGTTCTATTTTTAACAAAATAAAGTATAAAGAAAAGTTATCTGGAGAATGTTTTTCTTTATAACCGAAATATGAAATTGACGATAGAAAGTTGCCAAATTGTTGTTTATTAAACACTTAAAACTGGCGATATATATATTTATTAAAGCGCACATGGCAACGGTATATAGGTAGTTTCGACATGTGCTATTGGAAAAGTTATTTTCGAACACAGCTGTAAGTTTTAGAACGCATTTGCCAGGAAAATAAGTATTAAAATTAGTAACTGCGTACAATGGTGTCAATCCTACGCAATATTTAACTTACGATTAGTTTTGGTAAAACTTTTTATTAAGAACAAAGAAACGGTTATTGGTACTCATCGATTAATTTTCAATTTGTTGAATCAATGAACTGACTTAACATTTAATGTAGATACATTATGTGCTTAACACTTAACGTTGTTAATATGTAAATCTAATGTTTCGACTTCAAGGATTCTCGACTTTACCGCGCACTTTATTAATAAAAAATTAACTCTGAACTGCGTAACTCATTCAGTAAACATGTCCTTCTTAAAATGGTTAGACCTGTATAAAAACTATACTACATCTTTGTCTGCATATTTTATGAAACTTTTTTTTAATTTTGTTTATAGTAGGTATTGCATATTAGTACTTTTAATATTAATTCTTGATCATTTTTGTACGAAGAAAATTGTATAAAAACTAAAAATTTTGAGTTCTTTTATTAATTAGATCTTATTTAATTGTACATGTAATAATGATTATAAAATTTGCAATCTTCTTTCTTAAAAGTAACCGATTTAATATATTGAGTTTTTGTACTATTGTTGTAATGCCGAAAATAAGATATTAATGATGATACACAAACGTTAATAACAATTATTAAAAATATTATTGAAAATTTTGGTGAAGGCGCCGGGATTATTTAAATCAATTGAGCTATAATTGCGATTTTATTGAGGTAGATTAACAAATTTATATCTTTAAATTATATTTTTCTGTATTGACGTAGTTAGAAATGTTTAATTATATATTTTCATCATTAAATTAGTTAAATTAATTTCGGTTTCATCGAGATAGATTGATTATTTTTTATCTTTTTTCTTTTGCCGACGCAGTAGGGATGTTAAGTTATATATTTTCATCATTAAATTAATTAAATTAAACCAGAATTTGTATTATAATATATAGACAACTCAATATATAGCAAATAGTAGAACTGAAAATTTGGTGGAGGCGCCGGGACAATTTAAAACAAAGGCTATAATTGAGCTATAATTTCGATTTCATTGAAATAGATTGATGAATTTTCATCTTTGATTTATGTTTATTGCATCGATACAGTTAAGGATGCTATTTGTATCTTTCTTTTTACAATAAATTAAACTACAATTCGTAATATAATTATAGGCAACCGAACATACAGCAAATTTTACAACTCTAGTAATGTAAGTAATAAAAGTCAGAAAACGCTTTTTATCACAAAATTAGTTTTTTACGCGAAGCTTAATAATATCCTCGAGCAAACTACCAAATAATAAGTCGAATTAATTAATTAATTAGTAATATTTTTAGAGATATCATTTCATATATGACAAAAATTACAATTATTTTGTATTTTGATAAAAATTTGGTCTAATTTTATAATAAAACAGAAGACTGTTTATATTACGTTTTTATAATATCTGCAGTAGATCAAAAATATACATCTTAATTATTACACTAAATACGTTGAGGTCTTAGAAAGTATAATAGAATTTATTTAAAATACTCATAACTGATGCATATTGCGAAAGATACAGTTAAATTAATAAATATTCATGTTTTAACAGTACATTATCCATATGTGCTGGAGTGTAACGCACACATGTTACATAGTATGTTTAATACGATAAAAATGAAAGTTAGAATCAGTTTCAATTCCATATGTTACGGATTTTTTTTATGTAATATCCAGTGAAAATATTAAACATAGTATCCACTCATTAACTGTAACAGTAACGATTAAATTTTACGTCTTACAGTGAGTGCAAGAAACATTCGAGCACACACTTTTTTGTTTTTGTTGTTGCGTCATTATTACAAAATAAAAGAAGTTGATGTTCCTTGACAATGGCAAATGAATAGATTAAGGTGAAATCCCAATTACTAGATCGGAAATATGCCGCTCATAGCCTTGATTAATGTCTTCCTAGTCCGAAACAGAAAGTTAATGCTGTGAGAATACCATTTCCGTTTAAATTAGTCAAAAAAACTGCTTTCATCGTGTTACGTAATTAATAATACGCCTGTGGAACGGATTTAATAATAATTTACGGTGAATACACAAAAAAAATAATTTTAAGCGTCCGTGTCCCAAAAATATAACCGATTAAGTTTTAAAAATTGAATAAAAATACGAAATTCAAAAAACTACTTAAATAATGTTTTGTAATAGTGATAACAGGTACTTAATTGAGTTTATTTGTTTATCCTTTCGACAGAATTAATTCGCGTGATTCATACAAGGAAACAACTTTGTGTTGTGTTTTATAAGCACCTGTTCGTAATTGAAAATGTTTCGAAATGTGAAAAATGTCTAGATTGTATTTGATCGTGTCTATTTTGAGATGTTTGTGTACAAACGACTGCAACGAGATTGTCTTTTGTTAACCATTTTTGGTATAAAGAAGGCCAACTGGTGGAAGAATCAGTCCAGTTTGTGGTGAATTAAAAATCGACAGGTGAAATGAGTCGTGCAGGTTCTTGTCCTCACAGAAAGAACAAAAGAACAGAAAAAACCGTGATTGGTTCTTATTTGTGGAACAAAAGTTGCATTTGATTTTGTTTGTTGTTAAATCGAATGTTTGTTCGTTTGTTCACTTTCAATTTTTGTCACAGGAAATTGAAAAGAAATGAAATGAAAATAAACGTTTCATATTTTTTGTTAGTTAGAGTTTGTTTTTTTTTCTTTTTAAAGTAGAACAAGATTATACACAAACGTTTCAAAGTTTACGATTACTATAAACTTTGTGAAAAGAAAGTTTTAGACAGTATGTTTTTTTAGGTTTATAGGTCAATATTAAGTTCATTTATAAAAAAATCCTGCATTTTATCGCGCTTTTTTTTGTGTTACTAATTACGACGATTTATTAATTAATAGGATTCTGTACTAGGAATGCAGGAAACAACCCTTTATGTTCTCTCTATCTATAGGTCGTAGTTGTACCTACGTATTAACTTGCATTTGTTTTTTTTTTTTAAGTTTTATACTTAATTCTTCTTCAAATATTGTGAACCAAAATAAATTGTACCTACTATTTTTTTAAAACGCATAAAGTTCTATAAATGACGAAAAAGGGTCAGAAAAGTTTGTTTTCTAAAATTTTTGTAACAAAAAGCGTTTATAAAATAGACGCAAAATACCAGGCATTAAAGCAAAGCTTTTTGAACTGTTCTATTATTGTTGAAGTACATAGACATTAAATGGAATACTTTCAAGGTACTTTCACCTTTGAACAAACAAAAACATTATAAACAAAACAAAGGACTTTCGAGACGTCTGATAAAACGTATCAATAAAATCCTTATCTCTATCAATGTACGTACCATGTCGTCTTTTTTGCGTCTATTTTAAGTTGTTATTATTGCCATTTATTTTTAGTGCCCAGTGAACTTTGAGAATGCCTTCGTCTACTGGCTTGTTTTTGTTACAACAATAGCAAACAAATAAGCGCAACATTATTTGCAAGAAAGAAAAAAAAAAAGGGGTAAGACGTACCAAGGTTGCTATTTTCTATGGCCTCGTTACACCGGCCTACCACCCTGATGATGGCCCTTCCAGCCAACCTGGTACAGATCATCATGGCACCCATCCGTGGGTCTTGCTCTTCAGCTTCCGCTGCGAAATCTTCCGTAAATTGCGATGGTGGACGCATTTTCACTTGTCAATAATTAATCGAAATCGACAACAAACGAAACTACTGTAGTAAGCAATTGTGAAAATGTGTTTCTGCCCCGTTCACTAAATGTTTTACTTTCCTTTCTAGCGCGCTTATCCGTTTAAAATGTTCGCGTTTTGCGCACGCGGAAGTGCTTTATAATCCGCGGTCTGTTTACCTTTCCCCCACCGAAAAATTCGCGAGACCGCGTGTTATTCTTCTGTTGTGACGCCAAACAATTGAACAATTAGAACGACAATTATCGCTATGGGTACTTGTCAATAGTTTTTGCGATTTTCATTTGTTAGTATACAGTATTCTAATGTTTCGTTTTATTTGTTTGGGTTTTGTTTGGTTTTCATTGTTGATGCGCACTTTGGAGAGACAGAGAGGAAAAGCACTCGGGTGTTTCCCCTTTGTGCTCGAAATAGATGGCGGATGTACGGGAAATTATAGAATTTTAAGTACATTCTGGATACAACGACATTCTCTATTTTCGTAGCAGAGGCAAGGTCGTTCGGAGATCGCGATGTTAGACGTAGATTTTCGAATTTTCTTTGTTTTTCCGATGCGCGATACGTGCGACGAGATACATGGCGCACGAATTAATCATGAAATGGAAAATTAGGGGTCAGTTTGCGTTCCGCGAAAAATAACTACGTCTTGGATTTTTTGTAAATATTTTGGCGACATTCTTTGAACTCAAACAAAAAAGTTTTGCTATTCTATTGGGAGCAATTAAAAGTACATTATCTGCTAATTATATGCTTAAAAATAATTTAGATTACTCTGTTGACGAATAATAAAAAGTTTTTTCAGCTACGCACTTTTTACTATATTTTATGTAATATTTTGTGTATATAATCAATATAAAAATTAACAATTCTATTTTCGTATATACTTGGAAAACAATAATTTCCCTTTTTTTGGTATTTGTGAAAGAAAACAAATGAAATTTCACGTGTAACAGTAGCAAAAGTCAGTTAAACACTTCAAAATCAAATACGTTAACAATGAGACAATATATAAACAAAATACGTGTTTGAATCGCATAAAACAAAAAGAAGTTTTCAATTGTTCTTTTTTGTGTCTCAAAACTGATTTCAAGAAAATTAGGCTGCTTGATTATTTGCAAACTTTTATCTTATTTTATCAACGAATTAGAGTACTTTTTTATTGAGGTAAAAAACAATTGACGCATAATTATTTGCTATCAACGATTGGTTTTATTGATTGGTTTAAAACGAACAATCGATCTAACCTATCGAATCCAAAAATTGAGAAAGAAAAACGAGGGGAACCAGTTTCCTTCAAAAAAAAAAAACAAAAATGTATTCCTCTTTTAAGCGAGACAGGAATCAGCCTTATTTATTTTTTATAAATGTAAGTCTGCATTGTTCCTAAATTACTGGAGATATTTTAATGAATTTTTCACCTAGACGACCCTCACGCTTCTTGAAAGATTTTAGGACCTTTTTTCAGATAAAAGTATTACTAGGTTTTCAAAATTCTTAAATTTCTCTTAAAATTCCTCAAGAATTCTATTGTTTGATAATAAATTGTTACGCAAAATGAGTAATATGTTATCATCACAACTTGTTGATAAAATTCAATAAAAATAAGTTCAAATCTCTTTTTTTTTGTTATTTATTTGAAAACATAAACTCAATTACGAAAACTGATTTCCTCTTGATAAAATTATAAATAAAAATGACGGTAAATTGGCTGGTCTTATAATTGTTGAAATTTTCAAAAAAATTTTGCCTTTCTCTCTATTACTTGACCTAAGAAATCTACCTTCAAATGAACTTTGTTTTAAAACTCTCGAACTCTATAAAGACATTTTTATAAATACTTTCTTTCATTGTTTAATTTTAAAAATTTCGCGTTTGTTAGTTATTACTGGAGGACCGATATTAAGTTGGCGCCTGTGTTTAAAGTTTACGGGTAATTTCTAAAAATAAACCCGAAAACATTCAACATACTTATTTTATGATATGCCAAGCAATTTTTGTGATGAGGAAATCTTAATTCTAATTTCTAGAAATATAAAAAGTTAGCTCTGTTTTTCTTTTCTACAAATAACGTACTGGGTAATACTATTTCTACTTTTATATGAACATCTGTTCTTGCAAATGAAAATTTAAACCGTTTTTAAGAAGAAAATAGTAAAAATATATAACATAATATAATAATGCGAACTTAACGAAAGAAGAATTGTTCCGCTTCATAAAGATCGGCCCGGAAGTGTGAGGCACCATTCCCAAAATGACCTTAAATTAGTCATGGTAGGTACCATTAACAGATCATCGATCTACAATCAATATAATTCAACAAATTATTAAATAGTTTTCTTAACAAATCTTATTTTACTTATTCGACAACTAATTCTAATAGTTAATTTCAAGTCAAAAATTATATTCAAAAAATATATTTCGTTCCCTAAAATTTTTGTCCCTCATATGTTATTACGGGAACATTGTATCTTTGTTTTAGAAATAATCATCTTCAAGTATATTACATACGTCTATGCCTTTTTGGTTTGGCAGTTAGGCCATCTGCGAACGCAAATCGTTAGTATTTTTAGAATTGTTTGGATTTCTGCCAAGGGTTCCACGAATAATAATACTTTCTTTAGGGTCATATTCGTTCGTATCGTATAAATGCGCAGTTTTCACGAAAAAAATGTACCATTTGCTTATAATCGCGACGAGAGAAGTTAATGGACCTACAAAAAATTTTATTCCAAAAAAAAACGCGTAATACTCTCTTTGTTCATTAATTCGAAGCCTGAAATGAATTTTAACGGCTCAACTGTTCGTGCACATTTAGGATGTTACGTAAAATTGAAAGATTATGTATTCATAGACTTGGATTCGACGCGAATTTTAATATTTGCGCATTGGGACTGCCGAAAATATCCCAAATTCGCAATATTAATAAGTTAATTTCGAAATGCAACATTTATTTTAAAATAACCCCAAAGTGTAGCATAAGTTTTTATTTTTTAATATTACTTTAAGTCTTTTTTATGTTATGTTCAAAGAAAATAAAAAAAGGTATAGTTAGTAAATTATCGACAATTTAAAATGGACTTTCAACAATCTTTTACACGATATTTCAGTCAACGAATGAAATTTTCAAGGAGTTTCACGTAGCATGGAAAATTTGATGGCGACATTCTGTCTAGCAATTATGCTGATCGACGAACGAAAACAAGCCAATTCTCTTTCTAAAATTAGGAGAGACTAATTTCATCGTTTGTTGAGCGGTTTGCATTTTAAACCAAGCGTTTTTAATCAGTATTCAAACGCATTTTACGAAAAGATTATTTAACTCATTAAAAAGACCCCTTCAGGAATCTGAAATATTTATTTAAATTCCTTTATCAAAAGAAAGTATCAAAAAATACTCTAGTAAGTTAACAAGCTCTAATATCAAGAGAGCTGGGAAATCAATGTTTTCAGAACGAGTATCAGAGGTGAGTACCCACCAATTAGAGGCGAGTCGTAAGTGCTCGCCCATCACTCATCCTAAAAACATGCTGCTTACTCTAAATGAGCCAATTTAGCCCATATACTGCTAAATTAAACAATTAAACATTTAAAAAATTGCGTAAATTGGTGCAAAACAACAAGAAATGTTTGTTTTTAACAGTTTATTTTGAAAGACCTTTTGTCCGTTTCAAATCTAAGTAGCTAAATTACGAAGTTGGCTGCTAAACCAAAGTCAATCGTTAAAATCCCGGTCTATCTTAGGAACTTACGCATGTTATATCGACGAGAGCACGGGATTTTCTGATGTTCTTGACATTAGTCTGAATTATTTTTGTTTTTCACACAAAGTAAAATGCAAACGGTTCTTAAATTTTGGCACTGGCCACCGTTGCAACAAACAAAGCGTCTTTTTGAAACTTTATTCTTACTTTCATTAATTGTGAACCTTTAAATGTCCCTGTACTCCAACTTTATATTTTAATAATTGTAATATTTATTTAACATTAGGCCAATATTATATTTATAAACAGTGCGGCTAAAAAATACAATTGTGTAGCTTATAGAAGTGATCCAAAACAATCAAACAAATTGACAATATTGATCGTTTTATCGATCAGATCGATATGGACTTTCTATTTATATTAATTATTTATAATGCCCAAATTCTTACTCCTAATAAGTTTCTTTCTTTTATACATGTATTTAACATTGACATTTTATATAGATTTAAATAAAAACTTAAAGGTTACTGAGAATGTCCATGAAAAGTCGCATGTTTATTTGGAAACGGGAACGTCACTGTTGGGGTGCATTTACCGTTTAAATTTCGAAATTAACCGCTCAATAATTTAAATATGTTAAATTCGTAAAAAATTTGTATCGATCCGTTTGCAATGATAAATGATTACCTAGTAAAAAGCTGTCAAACTGTCAAATGCATCTCAGAACAGGAGCATGGAAATAGTGAAATGGTCGATAATAAGCTCGCCAAGCATTTCATTGATTACGATGCCTATTTAAAAAGGGCAAAAAAAGAATTCGAAACAACTATTAAAACGGAACTCACTGTGACAGCGTCCCTTGACGATTTTAAATTGGTTAAAACGTTAGGAACTGGGTCCTTTGGACGCGTAGTTCTGGCCAAACATAAAACCAAAGATATGCTGTTTGCCATAAAATTGATGGACAAAGATCATGTTGTTAGAACCAAACAAGTTCAACATACTATTTATGAAATTCGATTAATGGCAGGTAAAAAAATTATAAGTATCTATACACTACAAGGGGGCCATTGTTCCTGATTTTCTTAGGGAGTGTGTACGTAGATTTTTACACCATAAAATGATTAAAAATTAAATTTTTAATTGTACATAACATTACTGTATACTTGTTTGTTATTGTATCCAAAGAATTTTGACTATCGAATAGATATAAATAGAAGTACCCTTTTACCATTTTGTGGTACGGCGTCGCCATTAAGCTAAAGATCGTTGAAAAAAATCCACGCCATTTGCGTTCATTTCAAACACTTGATGTATGGCAACTAATATTATCTACATATCTGTGTATGACTAAACGTTTCTTTAGAAATAAATAAATATAGATTGCAAGAAAATGTGCGATTTATATCTATATACTTAATGTTTTCAGCGTACAAATTCCCCTTTCTGATAACTTTGGAGTACTTTTTCAAAGACAACGTTTATTTGGGAATAGTGATGCCTTTTATCAATGGAGGAGAGATGTTTACACATTTGAGAACATTAAAGAAATTCGATGAACAATTGGCAAAGTTCTATGCGGCGCAAGTAATTTTAGCTTTTGAATACATTCATTATCTAGGGGTGGTATACAGGGATCTTAAACCAGAAAATATAATGATGGACAAAGAAGGATACATAAAAATTACTGATTACGGTTTTTGCAAAAAAATTGATGAACAGAGAACGTATACTTTGTGTGGTAAGTAATTAATTAATTCTTTTTTGTTAAGAGTCACTTACAACAACAAAAAAGAATGTAAAGATTATATCTACCATTAAAAATGGTACGAATTCACCTTATTTAAAGTGTGTTTACCTCAGAAGTTTAAAAATAACTCAAGTATAGTCTTATTACGAAAGGTTATTGAGCTCAAGTACTTAACACACATAAGGGACAGCAGTGAACAGGTAAATCAAAATGCTATGATGATACGTATTGAGATTTGCACATTTGTAATTAATTTAGGCACTATCCGAAAAAGTTAGTGTGCTGTATACAAATTAATAGTTTCTTCATCAATTGTAGAGAATTAAAAGTATCTGTATGTGAACAGTTTTAGATGAATTATGACAAAAAGTAAATTGTTATTACAGGAACTCCCGAGTATTTGGCTCCAGAAATTATTATGAGCCAAGGATACAACAAATCAGTAGATTGGTGGTCGTTAGGGATTCTAATTTTCGAAATGAACGCAGGGTATCCGCCATTTTACGGCAGAGATCCAATGAAAATTTACGAAAAAATCGTTTCGGGGAAGTACCACTGTCCCTCAACATTTTCACGACCATTAAAAGAACTAATTGGAAACATATTGCAAGTTGATAGATCTAAAAGGTACAAAAAAAAACTTTAAATTCACTCAGATAAAAGCAACAGTTGTTAGCATCCGGTCTGACATAAATATCTCTCACAACTTTAGGAAAATTTGTTCCCTTTTTTGTTTTATCTTACAATTTGTACGTTCTGTGACAAATTATTTATTTGTTAAATACATATGTGGTATAAAACAGTACCTCTCCAAGCTATGCTTGCCAACTAATATAACTGGGGAAGTACCCATCAAATATATCGGGGATTTACAGCAAAGGCACAACAACTACGGAATATTTACTCATCTTTGGGGCTTAATAAATAATAATAAACAAAATAATAATTTAGTATTTGATTTTAATGTTTGGAAGATGGGGCATTTTAAAAAATGGAGCAAAGGATGTGAAAAGTCACGAATGGTTCAGAGGACTAGATTGGGATGCTGTTTTTCAAAGAAAAGTGAAACCTTCTTATAAACCCCGTCTTAAGGGTGACGATGACACGTCCAATTTTGATGTTTACGACGAAGAGCCACTAAGAAAGGCTTCCACAGAAATGTTCCCTGATGAATTTGCAAAAATTACCCTCTAAAGTACTTTTACATTATGATTTACGGTCTCACAATATATACATATCACTTATAAATAAAATAAATGTATTTACTCCCAAAAATTTCATTTAAATTACTATTAGCAATAGCAAATGTAGTACTACAATTGCTAAAAGAGAGGCCCCATCCTCCTTGAGAGACAAACCTGAATTTGAATGCAAGATTTCTACCTTCATTTTACTAAACTTACTAAAATTATTAAACAAACGATTAATTAAAATCATTGTCATTAATTATTTTCTAGCTTTTAGTATTTCATCAACTATTATGTACTATATTTTAAAGTAATTACAAATCGTTATTTCTCGTAAAAAAAACAATTCAGATTCATTTAATAATAATTTAATATCCTAACTAATAATATTTTACATTAAAACATGTTATAATAAGAGAGAAAGGAATAAGAGGACAATAAAGGAACCGTATAATATAATAAGTATAAATAATAGAATAAATGGACAATTTTAAAGACAAACAACTCATTGATTTCTAATGATATCTCACATTAAATTATGCCAAATCTATCAAAACAGTAAACTCTCTTTGAAGTTTAATTAGGTTATATAATGACAATAAATGATCAATAAATATCGCTAAAGTTAACTCACTTAAACAAACTTTTTCACGGCGATTATACCAAATTTTGAATGTTGACGTCCCATTGTCTATATTCAAATAATAATCGCCTATTTCGTTTTATTCTATCTATCACCCTCTATATTGTAGTATTTATTATCTAAATCTATCATAATAAAAAAAGAAGCTTTTATACTGGTACATGTCCTTTTCGCAACTGACTAATTTCTAGACAAAGCATTCCATGAGTTTTAATAGTTTTTTCCATATCTTTCACTTCTTCACTAAGGTTTATAGTCTTCTCATTATCAGAAATAACATCAAGTATTGAATTATAGTTTTGCATTAGCTAAAATATAAATGTTTTATTCGAGTACTTTTCATAAAAAATAAAAACAGGATATTGAAACTAATAAAAAAGAAAGTTTAATTTAGTAAATTATACTAAATTGAATCCACTCTACAATTCTAATTAAAAAGTTTTTAGTTTTAATACTTGGGTTTAAGTTTATAATTATACTATGTTGCTTGTAAGTATTCATCTTCATTAACATTTCAATTACCTTATTAAATTATTTAGTTTCTTTTATACAAAATAATATAAACAATGCAAACCTTTGAAAAATGGTTTACTTCCTCCACACATTTTCTAAGTAACTCTTCATTGCCTTGTAGGGAACATTTTATCTCATTATTCTTTTTATAGTGCCGCATTATAGTGACATTAGCTTCCTCTATTTTATATGCTTTATTCTGAAACCCAGATATTATACTATTAAAGTCAGAATCAGTACACAAGGAATCCAAATCATTTTTAGTATAATTATTTGAAGACTTTGTCGAATCTTCTGTGGCTTCTTCTAATTCTTTTAATTTGGAAGTATAAACAGCATATTTAGCTTGCCTTTCCTTTTCAGTGTATACTTTTATAGGGCCATATGAAGGAAATAAATTAATATTGTGATTTAAGAACTCTGTAAGCTTAGAAATATTATTGTCATCTTTGTATTTCAATTGAGCTTTGTCCTTCATGGCTCTCATGAAAGCAAACATTCTCTTAAAGATTTTTATCTGAAAAATGAAGATGTTTAGATGTATGTAACATATTATGTTCTCATGTAAACAACAAGCTATTGCTCTGAAAAATAAGAAATAGAAAAGTAAACCCACTTCTTCTGCGACATCTAGACCAACTCCTGTCACAAATTTTAGTTTTTGTGATGATTTGCAGAAACCATTTTCATATAAATGCTGTGCCAGTAAATTTTCAGCTGCAGATGAATGCTCAATAGGGGGTAAAAATTCTGTACTTATAACTTTGTTTATCCAACATAAGAGCGAATACCTGTTTTCTTTACTAAATAAATCGGCAACTTGAAATTCATCCAAACTATTTACATTTGGGTAATTAAATTCTTCCAAATAACTTTTACAGGCCAATATAAAATCCATTTTTATTTGCAACAACCCACTTACTATTATTGTTTATTATCTACATTGAAAACAATAATATTTTAAAACATTTTATAGCAATATTTGATTTAAAATTTCTTTAAAAACACTTACTTTATAATATTGTTTTTAAATTAAAGTCATGGGTGACGTTTATGACCGTTATTTAAATTGATTTGAAAGTTCGACGAATGAACTAGTTAAATCGATGTACAATAACTCACGAATGCAAGGCTGACAACTGGAAAACTGTATACGACTGCATTACTAATTGAAAGCACATTTATACATTACTTATATACGTGTAAAGGACCATTTTTAACTAATATAGTTAATAATTTATATAATAATGTTAATCTCTGAAGAAAAGCCGAGTCCATNTATAATAATGTTAATTAAACATGATACAATGTGCCCAATTTTTTATTTAGAATGTAATAATTTTACTAACACGTTCGTAATTTAGACTGGTAGGCCTGATGATTTGACAAGTTATAAAGGTCAAGCATGTTTTATTCCGGGTAAATATGGCCGAAACGGCTATTTAATAATTGCTAGTGAAAAATATATAGTATAAAGTATAAATTTATCAACAGTTTAGTGATTTTTTATTGAGTGCATTGTAAAAATATGTTTCTGTAGTTTATGTAGTTACAAAAGGTAAGGAGATCAGTAATAACAGTTCATCGTTGAAGCGTATGTAATGTCATGTTTACACCTTTGTGTAGTAACTTTCTTTATAAATATTTTATTTTCTTCCTTCAGGTCCATCTCCGAATATTTTAGTGTTTATAAAAGTAATGTAAACAGTTTTACATCTAGAAGACAATATCCTTAATGAATTAATCATTTTTATGTGTAATTTTTTCTATACAAAAGTAGGTTGCAAAAATCCAGTGCTTGCATATTCTATACGTGAATTTGATTATAAAAACGTTTCAAATACTAATTTGGAAAAGTCATCTAGATATGTTTTGTTTGTCATATGTAGTATGTTATTGGAAAGCACAATTTGTAAATGTACTTCTCTAATTTAATTAAAGAAATGGCCAGCCCGTCTCCACAAAGTAGTCCAATGCCTCCACCTCAGGCGCCGAGTCCAATGGGTCCACCTACTCAGAGCCCTGCCCCTCCTCCTTCACCACATAGCCCCTATCAAGGGGCACATATTAATGGCCCTCCACCATCTCATGCAATGGCTTCAGGTCCATCTCCAAATCATCCTGGCTTAGTGTCAATGCCTCCTACCTCCATGCCTAGTCCTAATCAGCATGGCTTGTCTCATGGGCCACCTGGTTCACATTTGCCACCCCAATCTCATCCTGGCATGCCTCCAAATGGTCACCCACATGTTCCCCAACCACATCCTGGTATGTCTCCGCATGCTGGTCCACCAGGTCCTCATGTGCAAAATCATCCTGGACCGCCACATCCACCTCATCCAGGACATTTAGGTCCATCACCACAGCAAAGCCATCATCCACAGAGTCATATGAGTCATCCTGGTGGTCCTCAGGGTCACCCAGGGCCACAAAATCATCCCGGGGCTCCTCCAGTCCATACAATGGGTCATCCTGGACCACAAGGACACCCTGGTGGTCCACCGGTTCATCCTGGTGCTAATCAGAGTCATCCTGGGCCACCTCAAGGGCACCCAGGAGGGCCCCAGGGACATCCTGGCCCACAAAATCATCCTGGGGGTCCCCAAGGCCACCCTGGTGTACCCCAAGGACATCCTGGACTCCCACAAGGACATTCTGTTGGACCACACGGGCATCCTGGTGGTCCACAAGGACATCTTGCACCTCAAGGCCATCCCGGTGCTCCACCGGGACACCCGGGTCCTCCGACCGTACAAGGACATCCAGGTGGACCTCAAGGACATCCAGGTGGACCTCAAGTTCATCCTGGCGGACCTCAAGTACATCCTGGTGTACCTCAAGGACATCCCGGTGGACCTCAAGGACATCCTGGAGGCCCCCAAAGTCACCCGGGTGGTCCCCAGAGTCACTCCAGCGGTCCCCAGGGTCATCCAGGTGGTCCCCAGAGTCATACTGGCGGTCCTCAGGGTCATCCGGGTGGGCCACAAAGTCATCCTGGTGGTCCTCACGGTCATCCCGGACATCCAGGTGTTCCACAAAGTCATGTGGGTGGTCCGCAAGGCCACCCTCCTGGTCCTCAAGGCCATTCTGCCCCTCAAAATCATCCTGGCGGACCGCAAGGTCATCCCGGAGCCCCTTCCTCTCATCCGATACTGCAAGGTGGTGGAGCTCAACCACATGTGCAACAAGGACAAACCATGCATCAACCCCATGGTGGGCCACCAACAGGATCTCAACAACCGCATATGGGGCCGCAAGGCAGTCATCCTGGCATGCAACCAAATGCTCCTCATGGTATGCCACAAGGACATGGAATGCAACCTGGTCAACCATATTCTGGTCATGCTATGCAACATCAACCACCACAATCACAGGTAAGGTTTTATTTTATTTTTTTTTTTTGAAATGAGGGAGATTTAATGGCATTGTCGATCAGTTGGCAACTTTTTTAATATTTGCACAACTTTTGCAACAATGCTAAATAATATACAAAGTCCAGCATGCTTTTTTGTCTTGAATCGAAAGCTATCTAGAACTTTGGAACATTACTTATGTTTTTATTAAATTGTACAAGTCCTTCCTCCCTATCAGTCACTGTAAGCTTGAAAGGGTTAACACCATTTATTCGAATGGTCGAAATTCACTTTTGTGAACAATTTGTTTTAAAAATTGTTTGAAAAATTAATTTTAAAAGAATCGATTATAAATAGGTATGCAACACATCGTACAGTTCAGGATAAGAAATTGCAGATACTAACTACGTAATACTACTTTGCCCTGTGCTGACAGCACTCATAATTTTCTTTATATATAATTAAGAGCGTCAATATTATCATAGGGTATATTTTTGCCAATAGAAGTCTTTCATAAAGAATTACTTTTTTTTCTTCTATATGATACAGTTACTGCCTTTTTTAATTACAACGTACAAATACAATACAATTTAATAGCCCAAATAAATTAACACATTCATTTTTTAAATTGTGTTACTGGTTAAAAATTATTAATATGAACTTTACGGCAATATTTTCCATTCTTCATCTGCCTTGTTCACAACTTCTACGAACTGCTCAGCCAATTTTTTAGTGCAGCATGCTAGTATATCCCCTTTAAGTAAATCAAATTCTACCCCTACAAAATATTTACAACAAAACAAAATTATTTTTATAGTTCTGTTTTAATATTTATATAAATTCAGAACTTAAAAAGAGTTTTTATTTGTTACTGACTCGTTGCTTATATGTTGGTATGTATTACTGTGTACCTGTGGGATCACAAACGTATCCTCCGGCCTCTCTTAAAATTAAAGCAGCTGCTGCATAGTCCCATGGGAACAGCCCATCACATTGATAGCTTTCAAAGTAGCCCCTGGCTATGTAACATATGCTCATTGCAGCACAGCCAAATGATCTTATTCTGCATACATAAAAAAGCAATGATTTGATTTGAATTATCTAGCAAATATTTTTTAATTACCCTTCCACTTCGTTAATTAAATATTTTAGACGAGTCAAGTACATCTTTCGTAAAGACGCAGTTTTGGCTAATGAAAGTTCATAAATAAAACTTGCCCTTCCAATGTCTGCAATTTGTTATAGTTAATTTCTAAAAAGTAATTGCCTATTTAAATTTGAAAATATAAAACAAACTTTCTGTTTCTTTGGAGTAAATTCTTTCTCCATTCAGATATGCGCCGCTCCCTTTAATGGCAGTATATAATTCCATGCTAAAGGGGTTGTATATTATACCCATAATTTGTTCCTTGTTTACCACAAGGCCTACTGAAATGCATGTTGTGGGGAATCCTCTTACAAAATTTGAAGTGCCATCAATGGGATCTATGATCCACGTAGGGTCATTTGAAAGTTCACTTATCCTTTTCTTTCGATGAGACTCTTCTTCGCCAATAAACCTTAGGGTGAAATTGAGATGGTTTTTTATTATTTAAAAAATTAAATTAAAATTTACTTGTGGGTTGGAAAATTCATCTTAAGCCTTCGAATAAGAACATTTTCTACTTTAACATCGTATTCGGAGACTATATCACCTGGAGCTTTTTCTTCAAGTACGATATCTTTTGCTGTTAGTAATATCTGAAGTAAATACATACAATAGACATTTTTCAAACAATTCTTTAGTGCACAACTAGCAATCAATTATCTATGTTATTGGACGAAATAATAACAAAAATTGTAAAAATTTTGTACTCACTTTCCCTGCATCTTTAATAAAACCTAAAGCTGTTTGATAACACAACTGGATTTCTTCTCTATTCATATTAACTATTATAATGATACTAATTAATTTTTTAGTATATGTTGAAAATGTAACTATGGTCTACCGAGGACAATTGTTATCTACAGACAAAACAATTTTCGTGAAACAAACTAAGTATTTATCTTCCAATCTCTTTAAAGTATTTAACACGTTCCACCAAACGAATAACAATTACGTTATGTCTACTAAAAAAATGTTTAATACATTTCATATATTTAATTTGCATTTTCGCAAAGTATATTTGTTTCTCTGTCTCAATAAATATTTGTCCATAAGATAACATCAGAAAACAATTATTCTGGGACGTGTTAAGGGCGGCCATGTGATTTAAGTGAGAAGATATGAAATTAATTGTTTCGGAAAAGGGTCTAAAAAAAATGTTAATAAATAGAATAATTTATTTATTATAATTGTTTTCGCATACAAATAACAAGTTAAACAGTATGGTATGTATCTAAAGTTTCTTGTACGACTATTAATAGTGAGTGAGTTTTATATAAAAAAAAATCCTATTCTGCAATAGATGCAACAGATCTTTTAATCACAAGGTTTTTTTGCGAATAAAAATCGACTAAACGTAAAATACGTGCAGTAATTAATAGTAATACTTATGGTAGTATATTTTATTTTTCACAGGTCGTTCAGTAATAATCTCCATTCTTCGTCTGCTTTCTTTTCTATTTTTAAAAACTGCCTCGCCAGTTTTTCTGTGGCACAAGCCAACATGTCTGGTTTCATTAGATCGAATTCCATTCCTGTAATTTTACATTAACTATTAATAAGACATGTTTTTATTATTACGTAGATATAAATTTATTTTGTTTTTGAAGAAAGACACTAAATTTTGTTGTTAACTAGTGGTCACGTCTGGAATGTCGTTCTGAATTTGACAAAAAAGTTTATTCTCATTAATAAATGTTTAATTAGCATTATATAATACAAACGATTTGCTTTTATATCATATAAAAACGATAAAATATTACCGTGAAGTACGACAAAGCAATATTCGATTTTGTAATCTATTAATACAATGTCATTATTCGTTCTTAGTCTTTCAGTGACTGAAAGTACAACATCAAGGATTTGTTGTTGATTACTATTTTTAATTAATTTATTGGATTGCGTGAAGCAATATACATACGGAATTTATGCATAATTTAAAGTTAAACAGTTAAAAAATAATATCTGCATATGATGTAGCGATTTTTTTTTTTTCATAATCCGGTTCAGAAATACGTGATACAGTAAACGTATAATTCATTGCCAATCAGTTAGATTTGTTAGATTAATTTATATTTTTATTTTACCTGTCGGTTCACACACATAACCACCGGCTTCTTCAACTATTAAAACCCCTGCGGCAGCATCCCATGGATATAAACCATCACACTGATAAGCATCTGTGTACCCTCTGGCAACATAACATAGACCCATGGCTGCCGAACCCATTGATCGTATTCTACAATATCGAATTTATTTATCTCTCAAATATGTATAAATGGGATTGGAACCTGATATGTTCGACTTGAGCGGGTCTAACTAGTTGTATATTTTCATAACTCACCCCTCAACTTCTCCTATTAGATACTTCAACCTTGTTAAATACATTGCCCGGTAGATTTCAGCTTTGGCTAGTGATAGTTCATAATTAAAGCACGCTCGACTTATATCTGTTAGGAAGTATAAATAATTAGTAATTTAATTAATGAATAAAAATTAAAATTATTTAATTGAGATATTTTCCATTGTGGTCTTTTGTGAACTAATCAAAAACTTGTTAATGCATTTTTAAGTTATTTTTTAATAGGTTTACGATTTCTTTAAAATCAGTATTAGTAGAAACACGTTGTAATCGATTTGTAAATGAGTTAATTGTACTTTCATGATTCAAACAGTTGAATGTGATTGTTTTTACCTTCTTTTTTACTCGTGTGTATCCGTTGCCCGTTTAAGTATGCACCTTCACCCCTAATTGCTGTGTACAATTCGCCGTGAAAAGGGTTGTATACAATACCAATAATTCTTTCCCTTTTTATCACTAATCCAACCGATATACATGTGATAGGAATTTTTCTGACAAAATTCGATGTTCCATCGATAGGATCGACTATCCAAGTTGGATCGTCTGTTAAGTCATTTATTTTATTTTTTGTAAATGATTCTTCTTCTCCAATGAACCTGTTGAGAAGTGATGAAATTATGATACATGAAAATCACCTTTCTTGTGATTAAAAAAAATGTTTAGTCTTGAAAGAAGGGAAGTACCAAATGATGCAAATATCGATTTTTAAGGTCAATGGACATTTGTTTCCATAACCGAATGCTTAGTTTGTTCATGGTATACGGCCGTTTCATATATGTTTCTGGTCGCATTATAGTCATATTGCCTCATTTTAAGAGTTACAGATTATTTACTTTGAGTGATGTAACAGTGTAGAATTGTTGCAAAAAAAAAACAACGGAAACAGTGCAAAAACTACTCTTACATCACCGTAGACAAATAAGTACAAAAAAAGAAGTAAAAACTGTTTATATTTGGAGAACAAAAAACAGAAACAAAAAGCTAATGTGACCTCAATCAAATAAAAGATTGCGTTAAAGTTAATTTTAAACTGTTCTTGAGTGTACCAGATTTATTTAATGTATTTTAACAGTTTCCCGATGCATTTAATCTTTTATGAATAAGGAGTAATTTGAATTAATGCATTTTGTATTAATGAACGTTTTTAACATAAATTTCCATAATTGCTATTACGTAGTCACGTTATAGTAATTTCATGGTTGATATAAATGATATATAATAAAGGCCTAATGGTCTCATCGTGTTTTCCACAATTGGAAAAAATAATATACCAAAAGATATTGCCAATAAAGCAGATCTTTAACAATAATGATACCGAGTGTTGTGGAAAGTTTTAGTATTTGTATCAATTTGATACAGAATTTTGCAAAACTACGCATTAATTGTTTTTTTTTGTCCACTTACTTGTGTGAAGGAAATTTCTTCTTTAGTTCGTTTATAAGCACTTCTTCAATTTTTCTATCAAATTCAGTCACCAAATCTCCCGGTTCCTTTTCTTCTACGTGAATTTTTTTAGCTGATAATAAAATCTACATGTGAAATTAATAATTATTATTAAAACAGGATGAAAAAGAGTACATGGATACAAAAATTATGTTATTATATCTGTGAAGTGGTTAGCTAATAATTTCAATTTTAGTTTTGACTTTTGGACAGTTAATTGGTCACTTTTTGTAATTTAATCAATTAATTCTGCAATTCTTTGTATTGCTTGCTATAAGTTTCAAAACTTTTATTTTTAAATAAAATTTTCACCACTAGAAATTACGAATCACATTCATTATGTACAGTATTATGATGATTGGCATTAAATTCATCTTTTTTGAGTCAAGGTTTTCAAATAATTAAAATATGCAGGTACATGCTTAATCGTATATGTAAAACATAGTGGATGTACAGTGCTTTTGATAGTGAAGTATGGTAAAAATTAAGTGATTTTTGGAATAGTTAATAAACTCAAAATTTCAGAACCAAAATAGTGTAGTAAAAAAATTAATACATAAAGACTAGGTTCTAGACTAGAGATGTAAAAAAAATGAAGAGAAATTTGAAAAAAAAAAATAACATACTTTTCCAGCATCTTTGACAAGCCTTATCGCAGTTTCGAAGTATAATTTGATATCTTCATTCCCCATGCTTGATGCGCGTATCAGATGATTTCGTTTTTGTCTTTCGCGGTCACTCACTGATTGCAAAACGAACATCCAGTATTAACAATCATGGAATTAACACTGAGCTTGAGTGTCGTTTTACTGTAAGACCTAATAGCAATAAGGACCTTGAGATACTGCCGGGCAAGGAATTACTTTCTATAATTACGATTCGTTTTGTCTGTCTTAAAAGAAAAAAATAAAAGAGTGAGCAAACCTTCCCAGATTAAGTCTTTATATACCTGATCGTATGTATTCATTGGTCATCTGCGATTCAAAATGAGAGTAATGTTAATATCCCGTTTATGGGGAAATCCGTCTCTGCTATAACGGAAGGTTGGATATTTTAATTATACCGTGAAGTTTAGGTATTTTACGATTGAAAATGACATTTATGAATGGTTCAGTCATTTATAAGAAAATTTGTGTTTACATATGATAATAAGAATGACGTATAGTTGTTTAAATGCATTATTTATTCCTAATTTGAATGATTTTATTAATAAGCAAATATTCCTTTAAGTTTGTTAATACCTTGCTGACAGTTAGCAGAGTATGGGAATTAAATTGGAATTTTCTTCTTAAAACATCATAATCCTTTAGGAGCATATTAATACTTACAATTTACGAATTTGTAGTCATATTTACTATAGGGCATTAACTAAATTTTTTTATAAACTTCTCAAAAGTCAATCTGTAAAGTTTCTAAAGTTAGGAATTATGGCGACTGATGAGGATAACGTGGGTAGAAAAGGTTAGGCATGAAGGTCTAGTCAGAGACATATTAGAGGAAGAAACAGGAGTTAAGAGGGGTAGAGGTAGACCTAGATTAGATTACTGTTCGCAAATAGTTAAGGATGTGAGATGTTCTAGTTTTAGGGAAATGCGAAGTTTAGCTCAGGATAGGAAAGAGTGGAGGTACGTGTCCAACCAGTCTTAGGACTGACGACCTTATGATGATGGTGATGACTTAATTGTAATGGTCAGATACATACAACGTTTTATTTTTCCAATCAAAGATATGATAACTTGTAATACACAACTCTGTTAATCTTTAACAAGAAAAAATTATCACTTTGCTGTATTATATGTTTATTAACACTTTAAGAACGTCTTACTTAAAGCTTTTAGGGTAGTTACCTTTTAATATTATGAAATAAAAAAAATGATAGATTAAAATTATCGAGTTAATAGTCTTATTATATCTTTCGTTTAATAGTTACTGTCATACGTACTACAAATTGATACTTTAGTATTCGTTCAGAACCAAAAAAAAATGGTACAAAACATGCACCTATTATAATTACTATTGGCAGACGTAATTAAACGATAAAATTGGAAAACATGAGATTTCTTTCGCGCTCGGTTTGTTAACAAAATTGAATTATGACGGGTGTAAGACAGAAATATGTCGCGTCCTTGCTATGTTAAAATTACTATTTATCCTGCTGTAGTAGTAAACACCAGTTTCGTAACTTGACCTATCAGTGATTGCAGTTGTTTTAGTTTGTACAACGAATGTATTTGAACACTATCTAAAAAAAGATACAATAATGAAAAAAAAGCATGTAGTCTGGGACACCAAAGGAAAGCAGGCTGAAGGTGTTAAATTTTCTGTAGTAAACAGTAAACTAACGTCCTACAACTATAATTTGTCTTCCGTCTCCATCCTCTTTGTTCTGATTTTTTTTTATTGAGAATCTTAATTTACATATTTTCTTGATCGACGAATTAATCCAATACTTCAAATTAGATCAGTTTCTGATATAATGCATTATTTTCTAATTTAAATCAAATTAGGTAGTTTCATCTTTTAAAGTTCTTTTTCTTTTGTTTTAAGTTATAAACTTAGCGGCGCGATTACTATTTGTCTTAATATTTTATTAAATAAAACAGAACATAGTTTAATAATTATTGTGATTGTATTAATTACTTTTGTAGCGTATTGGATGTAAATGCATCGACCTTGGCTTTTTAAAGAAGTTAATTCATTACCTGGTATACTCACTGGTATGCAGATATTACAGATAACTTGGTACAAAAACAATAACGTTTTACAGCTTCTTGTCTCAATTTATTTTGTACACTATCTAATCAAAATTTTGTAGCTAATGTAGACATCATAAAAAGCATTATTTTCTACAAATCTTTATTACAAATGCACAACTGAGTAAGATCCACAATTTCTAGTGAATGCCACATGTACTTTTTACATTAGAACGACAAAGTTCGATATTGAATAATGGTCAGGTTTACTTTTTTTATCGTTTCATTCCCATTTTTTTTTAGGTACCGTCCATTAGAAAATTAATAAACTGCTAAGATCACTTGTTTGGTGCATTTTGATTTTTTTAAATAAAAAATGAATACCGTAGATCCATTCTAGAAATAAACAAATCTTACTTGACCCCGGTAGTGCATTTTGAAGGTTAATTATAGAGGATACAAGTGCAGAATGGAGAAGTGGTCTATTGTAAAGAACTGTGTTCTTTGTCTGTTAAATTCTATAAAATAATTTTGTGAGGCTTTTTTCCCATTGTTTTAAACGTAAGGTCACGGAATTTAATGAAAAACAATTTCAACATCTTGGTCATTTCAACTTGGCCTTATGATTGTCATTTAACCAGTGTAACTGCATAGAAAATTAAAGAAAAATCAATTAACCATTAAAAATGTTCCATTTATTTATTCTGATTCTTGAATCTTTTGTATTGCACAATACTCACTATTGATGTGATATTACTTAATATGTAATAAAAGCAATATCACTGTATTACAGTCTGCACGAAAAATGAAATTATTATTTTCAATAAAAAAATGTTTTGAAGAATCCACTATATTAATAAATCTGCTGGTGTTTTATTCTCCCTGGGATTTCCAGAATCCAGCTTCTTCCCCTGGTCCCGGTCCACAAGCCCCACCACCCCAACCACCATCAGGGCCGCCTGGTCCAATGGTGGGACAACCGGGACAAGGCCAGGAAAACTTAAGTGCATTACAAAGAGCTATTGATTCAATGGAAGAAAAAGGGATGCAAGAAGATCCGCGGTATTCGCAACTTCTTTCTTTAAGAGCTCGTACCAACGGTAATAACGCCACCCTTAGTCAGATCCAGATGGTTCAACTGAGGTAAATGAAAACGCTAAGATTTGTTTAATTGTGCGTATTTTGAATTGCATTATTTTTAAGGGCGCAAATAATGGCGTATCGGATGTTGGCTCGCAATCAGCCAATCCCTCAACAGATGGCGATGGCAGTGCAAGGGAAACGACCTGACGGATCTCCCCAATGTCCCACTCCCCCTCCATCAAGTCCTTATCAACCTTCTAGCGGACCACCTCCTCCCACCGGCCCAGGACCACAGGTACGCTAGTTGCATGATGAATTGTATTAGTTAGTACGTTATAGTTAAGACAATTTTATTATTTTATTTTTGAAACTGCATGACCTTGAATGTTTGCAATATTTATTTGCTTAGTATTTATGAAATTGACAGCAGAAATAGTTATGCTGACTTTTTCTGATTTGAATGAATCCCATTTATATAGATGTAGCAATTGCATTACCTTTTTTCTAATTAAACTCGCAAATCTTTCATAATACTTTTCGTAAGTAGTTATAACTCTTTTGATACTTTTGCTGTGCTTTTCTGCCAAAACAGGATTTGCAATACACGTTCATATTTGGAAGTCTTTACACATTTATTCTTCTAGGTTGTCTTGAAATTTATTCTTCGTTAAATCAAATCTAGCTAACCAGCGAATTATTTTGTTCTTTATTTAATATCTGTACTTTTTACTTTTGTTGATGCTTTCCAAATGAAATCGAAGTACATAAGTTCACCTATTACTTTTCCAGCGCAATCTTTTTGCGTAGTTTTTCGAATACATTGCAATTTTTCTCTTGTTCGTTGTTTTGAGCATTGCATGATGATAGCACATTAGTTACAATTTAAAGAGTTGCATGTCTAGAAACCGAAAAATTCGGAAAAATCGCTTAACATATTCGTAAATTAGTTGAGCATGTGTATGGATCTCAACTAGTTGTAAAGTGTAAAAGAGGTTAGGAGGAAGTGAAATTTTAGGCGGGTCCTCCTCAACCTCCCCCTCCAACGAGCGAAACTGCTAACGAGCCTCCCCCTTCGCAGCCCGAAAATGGGCCGCCACCGCCTCCGCCGCAACAATCAATGCGACCTCCGGGTCCGCCAGGGCCTCCTCAACCCCCCATTAGCGGCCCTCCACCCGTGCCCATGCCTCCACAACATCAGGTAAAACTGGTTTTTAGCGAAAAGGCATAGCAAAATTATAAAAGAGTTTTAAATGATACATGTACATTAGAAAAAAAAATGTATTTGATCTTATTAAGCGTAACTATTTTTTCGGCTGCTTTGGTTATTAAAATTTTTCTATTAACCAATAAGCCCCAGCCTGTGGGAATGAAACCTGGCCAACCTCCTATACCGCCCCCTACACAAGGTATTCGTCCTGGAGGGCCTGCATCTCTTCAACAGGGACAACAGCAACAGCAGCAGCAGCAACAACCTCAACCGCAACCGAAACAAAATCGGGTTACAACTTTAGCTAAACCTGTTGGTATAGATCCCCTTGTTATTTTGCAAGAACGAGAAAATAGGTTTGTACGAATTCGTTAGTAATTGAAAATGGTAAGTAGTAAAACTAGATACTCTATAGGGTCGCAGCACGTATTGCAGCTAGAATGGAACAACTTCAAAGTTTGCCAACTAACATGTCAGATGATCTAAGAATGAAAGCCCAGATTGAGCTAAGAGCTTTGAGATGTTTAAATTTCCAAAGGCAACTTAGGACAGAAATTATAGCTTGTACTCGACGTGATACAACTCTAGAAACTGCTGTTAATCTAAAGGCATATAAACGTACAAAGAGACAAGGTTTACGTGAAGCTCGTGCTACCGAGAAGCTAGAAAAACAACAAAAACTAGACGCCGAACGAAAGCGCAGACAAAAACATCAAGAATTTCTCACATGCGTCCTTCAACATGGAAAAGATTTTAAGGAATTTCATCGTAATAATTTGGCAAAACTTGCGCGTATTAATAAGGCAATTATGAACTATCACGCAAATGCAGAAAGGGAACAAAAGAAAGAACAAGAACGAATAGAAAAGGAACGTATGCGAAGATTGATGGCTGAAGATGAAGAGGGATATCGAAAACTTATTGATCAGAAGAAAGATAAACGACTTGCATTCTTATTATCTCAAACTGATGAGTACATTGCTAATCTCACAGAGATGGTTAAACAGCATAAGGTGGAACAAAAACGTAAACAGCAAGAGGAAGAAAGACGTAAACGAAAAAGGAAAAAGAGGCTAACAGCTGACGGACTCCCTGTTGACGATGACGATTGCTCTCAAGAATCGGACCGACCCATTACGGTAATAGAATCTAACACAGGAAAAACACTAGCTGGTGAAGAAGCACCTACGTTGAATAACTTAAAGGAATGGTTAGAGCAACATCCGGGATGGGAAGTTGCAGACTCCGAATATGAAGAATCTGATGACGAGAACGATTTGGCTCCTAACCATAGGAGGAAGCATGGTGGCGAAGGGAGTAGAACGGAAGAAGAAAAGGCCCACGAAGTCATTAAGAAAGCAAAAACTGAAGATGACGAATACAAAAATAGTAGTGAAGAGCAAACATATTATAGCATAGCTCATACTGTACATGAAATTGTAACCGAACAAGCAAGTATTATGGTAAACGGTAAACTCAAAGAGTACCAGACCAAAGGTCTAGAGTGGCTTGTATCGTTGTATAATAATAACCTGAATGGTATATTGGCAGATGAAATGGGCCTTGGAAAGACTATTCAAACTATAGCTTTAATTACTTATTTAATGGAGAAGAAAAAGGTAAATGGTCCCTATTTGATCATTGTTCCTTTATCTACACTCTCAAATTGGGTATTAGAATTTGAAAAATGGGCTCCTTCTGTAGTCGTCGTTTCTTATAAAGGTTCTCCAATTGGTCGTCGTGCAATTCAAAGCCAAATGCGTTCAACCAAATTTAACGTACTTCTCACCACCTACGAATATATTATTAAAGATAAAGGTGTTTTAGCAAAATTACCCTGGAAGTATATGATAATCGACGAAGGTCACAGAATGAAGAACCATCACTGTAAGTTGACTCAGGTTCTGAACACTCATTATCTTGCCCCCCATCGACTTCTGTTGACAGGAACGCCTCTTCAGAATAAACTCCCTGAACTGTGGGCATTACTTAACTTCTTGTTGCCATCAATTTTCAAAAGTTGTTCGACTTTTGAACAATGGTTTAACGCCCCTTTCGCCACAACAGGTGAAAAAGTTGAATTAAACGAAGAAGAAACGATTTTGATTATTCGTCGTTTGCACAAAGTTTTGAGACCTTTCTTACTGAGAAGATTGAAAAAGGAGGTGGAATCACAATTACCTGATAAGGTAGAGTACATCATTAAATGCGATATGTCCGGTTTACAGAAAGTATTGTACAAGCACATGCAGAGCAAGGGCGTGCTTCTTACTGACGGCTCTGAGAAGGGTAACAAAGGAAAAGGGGGTGCTAAAGCTTTGATGAATACAATTGTCCAACTGCGAAAACTGTGTAATCATCCGTTTATGTTCCAACACATCGAGGAAAAATACTGTGATCACGTTGGAATGGCAGGAGGGGTTATTTCTGGTCCGGACATCTTTAGAGCGTCTGGTAAATTCGAACTTTTGGATCGAATTCTTCCTAAGTTAAAGGCTACCAATCATCGCGTCCTACTCTTTTGTCAAATGACGCAACTCATGACAATTATGGAAGATTATTTGAGCTGGAGGGGATTTGGTTATTTGCGTCTTGATGGAACAACCAAAGCTGAAGATCGCGGCGATCTGTTAAAGAAGTTCAACTGCAAAAATAGCGAATATTTCATCTTTTTGCTGTCAACGAGGGCAGGTGGTTTAGGATTGAATTTGCAAAGTGCTGATACCGTAATAATTTTCGATTCTGATTGGAATCCGCATCAGGATCTGCAGGCTCAGGATCGGGCCCATCGTATTGGTCAACAGAACGAGGTGCGGGTACTTCGGTTGATGACTGTTAATTCTGTAGAAGAGAGAATTCTTGCAGCGGCCAGGTATAAGTTAAACATGGACGAAAAGGTTATTCAGGCAGGAATGTTTGATCAGAAGTCAACAGGATCTGAAAGGCAACAGTTTTTGCAGAGTATTCTGCATCAGGACGGTGACGACGAGGAGGTAATTATCAATTAAACAGAATGCAACATTTCACTTTTTGTATTTTTTTTTGTTACCATTTATAGGAAGAGAACGAAGTTCCTGATGATGAGACAATCAATCAGATGATAGCACGTATCGAAGACGAATTCGAACTCTTTCAGAAGATGGACCTCGAAAGAAGACGTGAAGAAGCTAAGCTCGGCGCCGCTAGAAAATCTCGATTGATTGAAGTGAGTGAATTGCCAGATTGGCTTGTCAAAGATGAAGATGAAGTAGAACGGTGGAGCTATGAGGATCCTGACGACAGTCTTTTAGGACGAGGAACAAGACAGAGAAAAGAAGTCGATTACACTGACAGTCTTACAGAGAAAGAGTGGCTTAAAGCTATTGATGACGGTAAGAAATAATATTTGAACTACTATGTTTGGAAAATTTGATTTTGTTAATTTAGTTTTCTAATTTTATTATAAATTGGTTTAAAAGGGCTGAACGTCAAATCACGTTTAAAAGAAAATTATTGTTAAGGTCTTTTAAGCTGTCTCGTTTTTATAAGAAAATGAGTTACAGAAATAGTACAAAGTTGTTTTATGTGAAACATAAGTATAGAATGTATGGAAAGGTTTAAAATAATTTAAATTTTTAATGGTAGGCGGAGACTATGATGACGAAGAAGAGGAAGAAGAGAAAATTAGAAAGAAAAAGGGACGTAAAAGAAGGAAAAAAGGCGATGACTCGGACAATGAAGCAGGTCCTAGCTCAAAGAGGAGAAGGGGTCAAACAGGAAACGATACTAAGCTTAAAAAGCAAATGCGAAAATTAATGAATATTGTTATTAAATATACAGATAGGTAGGTAAATTGATAATTAATCTTTTTGTTGTATTTTTTATGTATATGTGTAATATGTAGGATCCCAACAAGCGTAAAATAGAAATTATTGAAGGTATGTTTTTTTTTACTTATTTCAGTGATGGTCGTCTTCTAAGCGAGCCCTTCATGAAACTTCCGCCACGGAAAGATTATCCAGACTACTACGAAATTATTAAAAAACCGATAGATATTGGTAAAATCTTGAACCGAATAGAAGAAGGAAAATATTGGGATTTTGGTGACTTAGAGAAAGACTTTATGCTATTGTGTCAGAATGCGCAGACTTACAATGAAGAGGCTTCAGTTATTCATGAAGACAGTATCGTCTTACAATCAGTTTTTACAAATGCTCGTCAGAGACTCGAGGTAGATGGCGAGTCGGAGGCCGAAGACAAAGAGGATGGTAACAGATCTGACACGGACTCCACGGTCAAGATGAAAATAAAATTGGGCAAAAACAAGCGTAATACGCCAGGTAGACGTAAAAGGACCACTAAAAGGTATGTGTCTGACGATGACGATGACGACGACGATTAAAGATGATTCAGAATGGAAGTTGTTTCTTCTTCAGTGAATTAGTATTGGATGTTTTTTCAGTTCTGTTGGTGTTTAAAGCATTGCATTTTCAGTTTAGTTTCGAATTTTAAAACAATGGGTAGATGTGTCTTCAAAGATGAATTTGAATTTAATTGTATGTAACTAAGATTAAAAAAAAAGGATGAGTTGTACTCTAGGTAGAATAAAGTCTAGTTGATAACGACATTTCGAGGTGACTTATTTATTACCCTATAAATGTTATGTATTATTTTTTAATTCAAAGTATTAAGGGCCATTTTGTAATTAAGGGTCCATTATGTCGCATATTTAAAAAATATAAAAACGGTTTTCATTATTTCATTTGTTTATTTTAGAGGAATGCTAAGATACAAAAAGTTGTTAGAACAAAAAAAAGATTACTCACTGCTTCAATTCAATGATGAAATAGACGATATTGAGTATGAACGAGTGTTATCGCGTGTTCATTGCATGCTTCAATCACAACAGAATCGTTGGTAGATCCTGAAGGACTTGCTATGTATTTCACGCCACTCTGAAAGAAATAAACGTCAAACAGTTTAAATGTTATGTTATAAAATAAGTAATGATCAATATTATTTCATAGAAGTGTTTTTTTGAATTATTATTTTGGACCAAGTAACTTACCAAATGTGCTCTATCGACATTATCTCGGAATGGGAAAAATGCATCTGAAGATAACACTATGTTACGCATCTCCCTACACCACTTTTGTTTCTCAGCGTCTGTTAAGTCTACAGGAACTTCATCAAAAACAGATTCCCAAGTAGTCCGATCCATGTCTCTTCCTACAATTTATAATTCCACAAAACATTTAACGTTAAATAGAAAAACTAGCTTACCAATGCTTCCGTTGACAAAATTGTCAATTGCGTTTGAGATTTCTGCCCTTTTGGTACCCTTTTTGAATTTCATTCCCAATACGCGTGGGTGGTGTCTTAACCACCAATTATCAGCCTTATCACCTGCCAATCGTGTACAATGAATTCTGGACTGTTGACCAGCACCAATGCCAATCACCTGTCCATCGACTGCATAACAAACTGAGTTACTCTGTGTGTATTTTAATGCAATCGTGGCAACTATTAGATCCCTGACAGCCGCATCCGGTAGCACTTTTCCGGACGCAGTAGAAACAACGTTTTGGAATAACTCTGCATTTATATTTGCATCATTTCTTTTCTGTTCCAACGTCAATCCGAACAGAACTCGTCTCTCCATTTCGTCGGGAATGTAATTAGGGTCTATTTTTAATAAACAGTAATTTCCATTCTTTTTCTTTTTCAAAATTTCTAAAGCTTTAGTATCATAACCCGGTGCGATGATACCATCAGATACTTCCCTCGAAATTATTCGGGCCGTTGGAACATCACATACGTCTGATAAAGCAATAAAATCTCCAAAGGAAGACATACGATCAGCCCCCCTCGCTCTAGCATACGCGAAAGCCAGTGGAGACAATTGGTCCAAGATGTCGTCAACCATACACACTTTAGCCTGTTCAAAAAAAAATGTCAATTATTTTTTCTACTTATTAATTAAAAATATATCTTAGCGAGAAACAACATATATTTTTCACCTCAGTTGCGTCGAGAGGTATGCCAACAGCTGCACCTGCAGGTGATACGTGTTTAAAACTGGTTGCTGCTGGTAATCCCAAAGCGCCTTTTAACTCTTTCACTAATTGCCAACCATTAAGGGCATCACAAAGATTAATGAAGCCTGGAGAACCGTTTACAACTTCTAAAGGAAGTTTTTCTAATGTGGTATAAAGTTGCGCAGGCTTCTGATGAGGGTTGGTGCCGTAACGTAAGGGTAGCTGAGAAACACCCGACGAAAATTGCTTTCTAAAGTAATCAGATATTGCGTCATCGTACTGAGCCGTATGTGTGAAAGCCTTCAAAGCTAATGTTTGTCTAAAAATAACGATAATAAATATATGTTGAAATGGAAAGATAAAGTGCATCAAAATATTTCTTCTTAAAATAAAACAACAAATATTGCTAAATGTATAAAAGAATGATTAGATAAAAATTAGTTTTTAATTTGATTTCAGATAAAGATTTGAAAATAAATTGTTATTTACTTAATACCAAATGTTTGAGTGATACTTAAAATACTTAGGTACCTTGTGGGTAAACTGGTGTCCCTATTTGATGAAGATTTTATTTCTTGGATTATTTTATCATAATCTGATGGATCACAAACAACTGTCACCCTGTCGTGATTTTTCGCAGCAGCCCTAAGGAGTGTGACACCCCCAATATCAATATTTTCAACTGCATCTGGGACTGTTACCCCAGATTTTGATACAGTTTGTACAAAGGGGTAAAGATTGCACACTACCAGCTGAATAAGTCTGATTTTTTCATTTGATAAATCTCGTAAGTCTGAAGGGATTAATCTAAATAGTAGGAAAAACTATTTTAAATAATTTTTTATACATAATTATAATTATTTATTTAAATTTAATTAAAAAGCCCCTCAAACATTAAGATAATGTATCTATTAATAAACTGAAAATAATTTTTGTTTTGAAACTTTAAATAATTACCTGGCTAAAATTCCTCCATGAACAGCAGGATGAAGAGTTTTAACTCTACCACCTAAAATTTCGGGGGCGCCGGAAATTTCTGACACATCTTTTACTGATAGTCCAGCATCCCTAATAGCCTTTGCTGTGCCTCCACTTGCCACCAATGAGAATCCTAAATTCGACAAATTCTGTGCTAAAGGTATTAACCCATTCTTGTTGGAAACAGATAATAGGGCTGAAAGTATTTTAAAATAAATACACCATGCTTGTGGCAACTTTTCATCTAAGTATTTATCTTTTCTTTTAATATAAATTAATTTTATGCGTGTTGAGATAATCTTCTTACAGATGTAACATTACTTTTAATGTTATCATTTTGGGGCAAATACACTTACCAATGTGATCAGTACCACCTGTTGCCATAGCTACAGTTTAAATATCTCGACTATAACTAAATTTTAATTGGCACAGTGGTTTATTTGTATAAATTCCCTTAAACGGATATCAAAAAATATGTTCATGGGGGGCACAGAAGGTTAACAAACAAGATACTTCTCACAAATAACAAATAATCTTTATGATAACCTCATCACTATCAATTAAAACACATATCTGCAGAAACGTAAAAATATATTTTAAAGTTAGATTTTCTGTTTACTTAATAATTAAATTCTAAACGTAAAGAAATCAGTTTGTTTTAATTAAAAAAATAATGATTTGAAACACTCTAAAATGAAGAAGTGAGGTTAAACACCTTTAAAAATAATAATAAATCGATAATATTGATCCAATGATCCAAATGATTTATATTGCTTGTCTGCTAATTTAATGTTGGAAAACTTTATTAAAGTCGTAATTTTTATTATTTACCTTGCATTTCTACTAATGTCCTAATTAAAGGTAAAAACAATTGTCACTTTTAAATTTTTTTTTTCATTTTCTTTTGGTAAGGTCTTTATAAAAATCCAGTTAATACTTTTATATTGAAAAATAATTTTTATTGTCGACTTACATTTACATTACAAAGTACTTTTAAGTAGTAAGGAACTTCAAAGAAAGTGTATTTTTATATGTATGAGGAGATTGGGGAAAAGGCTACCTTTTCCATGCAAATTTAAAAAATAATGTTAACACTTAGAAAAAAGTTAAACTTTACCATTATCAATATCAAGTTTATTACAATTATTTGATTCATCATCCAATACTTCTGTACAAAAAAGGGCTTCAGAACTAAATCCTAAATGTGCCTTAAAAGGTTCTCTAAAAAATCCTGTAACAAAGAAATATGATTATTAAGTTCAAAGGTGAAAATTTACTTATAGTAAATATTATAAAACTGTCAGAAAATTTGTAATCAATTGAAATCATAAATATGGACAGTCATCATAATGATTTAGAAAAATCAGTTTTTTAAATAAAATAATTGTATTTTATATATAGGATAATTACCAAAAAGATTTAAAAGTTGCTGAATCCTAAACGTGGCTTTAGAATGGTCCTTGCAATTAGGCTGTAAAAACAAAGGACTTTATTACTAAGTGGAAAGTAATTGTAAATTTACATTACTTAAATAAATTAAAATTTATCAGATAGGAGCGAAATAATGTAATCACTTCAAGTCATATGAACTATGCAGTCATCATAAGAAAGATAATAATCAAAATATAAGTTTGTGGAATAGGATTACTTGAATAAAGAAGAAAAGCAATTAAGATTTATTAATCATAATTAATTTTTATAAAAATTATTAATGAGAATACTTACTGAAGTGTGAAGATGCCATTGCAATAGTCCTTCAAGTCAATCTGGAAAACAAATTTCTTTTTTACTAACTTCAAATTATTGGTAACTTAATTAAATTAAATAAAAATGTATCAGATAGGAGCGAAAGAATTGTAATCAGTTTAAATCATATGAACTATGCAGTCATCATAAGAAAGATAATAATCAAAATATAAGTTTGTGGAATAGGATTACTTGAATAAAGAAGAAAAGCAATTAAGATTTATTAATCATAATTAATTTTTATAAAAATTATTAATGAGAATACTTACTGAAGTGTGAAGATGCCATTGCAATAGTCCTTCAAGTCAATCTGGAAAACAAATTTCTTTTTTACTAACTTCAAATTATTGGTAACTTAATTAAATTAAATAAAAATGTATCAGATAGGAGCGAAAGAATTAATGTAATCAGTTTAAATAATATGAACTATGCATTCATCAGTATAATAGTATGCAATGTGCATCAATATTTATTTAATAATTTTTTAAATAACTCACCATCTTTTCCTGTTCTAGTGTTTTGCTGTAAAAATAAAGGTGATTAGTAGCAGACACAAATACATGTACATATTTAAACATACAAAATTTAATAAATCAGCATTTTATATGGTATGAAAGACATCTTTATTTGAACAACAATTTATTCTCATTGATAGTTTCAAATGCACTACACTATCATCATTTACTATAATTATTAAAATGCAAACAAACAATTCAAAAGATCTGTAAAAAATGCTTACCAAAATTTTAGGAGCAAGCTGTTTACCTGAAAATTAAAGAATTTGTTTTAATTGTTTTAAAAAACTAAAATGGACAAATGAATTAAAGAGTTTTCATCAGATAGAGCTAATAAAATAAGAATCACATAAGATCATAATTAGTTAATCATCATTTTAGTATCTATATACATATGTTAATGTATTTGTTAATAAAAATAATCAATTACCAGATATTCCATTAACACAATATACATTTATTTCATCTTTAGACAAAGGATTAAGTATCTGGACCAGGTTTTGAAAATTTTGCTTGGACAAATATTCTAGGGACATCTATATTTTCTTTTTTGTTTACAGTTCTTCTATGCACATAAGTGCAGGTCATTAATTTAAATCCCTGGTTAGTAAATATTCTTGAAGCATGCTCTATAGAAAAGTAATAACTCCTACAATTAAAGAAAACAATAACTAAATTAATTAAAATTTATATGGCTTTACCTTGTGCCATCCTGCCTCATGTAGAAGTTTTCAGCAATCTTGTGCCCTGATTTAAAACGAATCTGTGCCATGTCATACAATCCATAATCTCTGAATAAAACCAGTCCACCTGGTTTCAATAATTTATAAATGTTTTTCACTGCTAATTCAAACTTATCAGGATGAATTGCAGACAAAACAAAAATTAATGTAGCTATATCTACAGAATTTAGTTCTAATCTGTTAAATATGTCTTCAGTAGTGATATCTATTTGGAAAGCATTTATTTTCTTCTCATCGAAATACTTGTTCTTCTTTAAAATATCTATAGCTCTTGGAGAGATATCACATGCAATAAAAAATACATCCAAACCTTCTTCAATTAAAGGAAAAATAAAATTACCCACACCACAACCCACTTCCATAATGATCACATTTTTTAAAGCAAAATCCTTATCTAATAATTCAGTAAATTCTCTAGTTGTCCAGTGACGATCTTTGAAAAACCTGTCTTCATTTCTTTTGTAAAATAGATCCCAATGCTTTTTAGCTTCGATTTCCAACATATTTGCTTTATGTTCAGGTACCAAACGAGAGTTCTGGGCAGCTAGCAATAACTTTTCACTTTCTGATAAATTCTTAGCTTCGTTAAAGTAATTCTCATCCATGTCGATTATAGAAGGAAGAATTTTATGCACAGTTTTAAACTATTTCACAAATTTAATGAATAAAACAAAATTTGAGCACATGACTGTTACAGGTTATCCCTCAAATTACTATTTCAAATTTTCATGGTACTGATTATCTATAGTACTGGTATTCCTTTATGTGAGTCGTTAGTCACAAATTTTTTATGCTAGTTTATGAATTGTATACTTTTGAAAGTTTATCTATGTTTTGAAAGCTTAACCTTAATCTTACACTTAAAATAGTGTTTTGGTTTAATAAATGGAAATGTAATTTGAACTGCAAAAATGGCAAGAAAGTTAAACAAGTATACCTTCCTTGGTGCTGTGAGTCTTGGAAGTTTTTTTGCTGGTTCAATTTTCGAAAAGTATTATGGAAAATGCAATCAAGATTACAGCTTACCAGTATCTAGTGATTTTCCAAGATTTTCAATATTTGGCTCAGTTCTGGCAGCCACACCACTTTCTCCAGCACCAGTCCAACAGAGCCCTACAAGTGCTAGTAGAGTTTCTCAAATAATGAAATATGGGTTCCCTAGTTTGGATAACATAAGATCTTTTGATGATTATGTTTTAAGTTATGATAGAAGAAACAGAGTAGCACATTGGGTATTTGAGCACTTAACACATGAACATGTTGTACATAATGACAAGGTTGATAGATCTAAATGTGATTTTAAGCCAGATGAGAGTATTCACCCATTTTTTAGGTAAACTGTTTAACCAATTTCTGTTATAAAAGTAAGTAATGAAATTACTTCTTTTAGATCAGACAATTCAGATTATAGAGGTTCTGGATTTGATAGGGGACATTTAGCAGCTGCTGGAAATCATAAAGCAAACCAGAAACATGTTGAACAGACTTTCTACTTGTCAAATATGGCTCCTCAAGTAGGTAGAGGCTTTAATAGGGATTCATGGAATAGATTAGAAAGATATGTAAGAAAACTGACAAGAAACTATCCTAATGTATATGTCTGCACAGGACCTTTGTATTTACCAAGGTTAATAATTACTTTAAATTTCTATATTTTTGACAATTGCTTAGGTTGAATTAGGTCTGGAAGTTTAACCCAGCCAAGGCTTATTTTATTTATATACTACTATATTAACATATCAAGTGAAAATGTAAAATTCATTTATGTTAAATATTTTAGAAAAGAATCTGATGGCAAAACATATATAAAATACCAGGTAATTGGTTCTAATAATGTAGCTGTGCCTACTCATTTTTTTAAAGTGGTTGTTGTGGAATCTTCAAGTGGGGAATTGGAATTGGAGGCATATGTTATGCCTAATCAAGTTATAGATGATGCAACTCCTTTAACCAGCTTTCTGGTAAAATAAAAATATTTTAGTAATGTATATGTGCAATGACTTGTCCCACTTTTTAGGTCCCTCCTGAGAGTATTGAAAGAGCTGCTGGCTTGTTATTCTTTGATAATGTATCAAGAAATAAGTTTAGTAAGATAAATGGAAAGAAGAATTAATTAATGTAGTATACATATGTATAGTTGCTGTGATATGGTTTTAAAGAGATAACTAAATAAATTATTTATGTTTTTTGCTGTCTAATTTTGATTTCAATTATCCTTTAAAAAAGGGGAAATCCCTTTTCTTTACCGGCATATGTTATGGAGCCAGAATCAGTGATATGATTATGAGTTTTATTTATGGTGACTAAAAATGACATTCAATGACATTTGATCTTGACATAATCTTGACTATTTGGTGGTTAATGGAAGTTGACAGAAGGGAAGATGGGAAAGTGCAATGGCTGTATTACAAGAATATACTAAAGCGAATCAAAACAACATAAAAACTAACGGACATGCATTCGGAATAATAAAAATAAGGTGCCCTAGTCCCACAATGTCGACTGATAGTGAAGACATGGACATTCAGCAAGAACTACGGAATATAGAGAATGTGATAAGTTTAACGCGAACGAACATTGATGCCTTAAATGCAAAATTTGCCGATTTTCAACATCCTCCGGCTATGTACTTAAAAGAGTATGAAGATTTGACGTCTAAATTACACGAACTCGAAGCAGAAGAAAGACGTTTGTTGGAGCAGCTGAGTAATGGGAAAGAAAGTCCAGATTTAAGTGAATCCAAGTATGAACACTACAATACTCCCTCGCAAAATAATACACTGAAGAGGCCTAAGACGTTTTTGCGTGCCCATTTACCGAACCAACAGAGGACTAGTGTGCAAGTGCGTGAAAATCTGACATTACGTGAAGCACTGGCCAAAGCAATGAACCTTCGAAATCTTATTTGTGAAATGTGTGTAGTTTACATGGGGAGTTCGAATATTCCGGTGAATTGGGACGTGGACATTAGTACTCTTGAATGTGATGAAATTACAGTTAAAATATTAGACAAGTTTCCAATTCCCACAAGTATTTCCCATAATTTTGTAAGGAAGACATTCTTTTCACTTGTGTTCTGTGAATGCTGTCGTAGGCTGCTTTTTCAAGGGTTCCACTGCAGAACCTGTGGATACAAATTCCATCAAAGATGTGCAAGTGGTGTTCCATCTTTATGCCATCAAGTATGTGTTTATATAATTATTTAGTATATGTTTGTTAATACAATAATTAAAATTATTCATTCTTAACAATTTAAGCTAAGCTTATGTTGTGAATGTCCACTTAATTTATTAATCTCTTATATAATACACTTTTATTGATTCTTTTGATGTTGTTTAAAAAATGATCTTTATCACTTGATTTAGGAAATAACTGTTCATTTCCTTCACAGGTTCGAATGACTGATGCATATTATCGTGCTTTATTAGCGCGACCATCTGATTCAAGTGCTGGAATTCTACATCCTGGTCAAGCAGCATTACATTTAACTCATACACGTCAGCCCCGCCATCCAGGCACTTTGGGACAGCACGACCGATCCAGTTCAGCGCCGAATGTTTGTATAAATAACGTAAGGGGTGGTGCCGAAGACGTTCCAAGATCTTTGTCGTTAAATAGAGCAGGTGAAGGGGGTTCACCTCCCCACTGTAGAAGCACTCAAGCATCTCCAACTAGTTGCTTGCAACCTCGACGGCCCCGAGCGAGATCTGCTGACGAGAGCAAGCCACTTTTAGCCCCTCGAGAGAGCATTGAGGACTGGGAAATACCTGCTGACGAGATCCTTGTAGGTCCCCGAGTGGGATCGGGTAGCTTTGGGACCGTGTACAAAGCTCACTGGCATGGACCTGTTGCCGTCAAGACGCTCAACGTTAAAATACCAACAGCAGCCCAGCTACAAGCTTTTAAGAATGAAGTTGCAGTTTTACGAAAGACAAGACACGTTAATATACTTCTTTTCATGGGTTGCGTGAGCAAACCACAACTCGCCATAGTCACACAGTGGTGCGAAGGTTCCAGTTTGTATAAGCACTTGCACGTTTTCGAAACAAAATTCGAACTGTTCACCCTCATAGAGATTGCACGTCAGACTGCGCAAGGAATGGACTATTTGCACGCAAAAAATATAATACACAGGGACCTGAAATCCAATAATATATTCTTACACGATGATCTGACGGTTAAAATTGGCGATTTTGGTCTGGCCACGGCGAAGACGAGATGGTCAGGATCGCAGCAGTTTCATCAACCGACTGGTTCCATTCTGTGGATGGCTCCTGAAGTGATCAGGATGAAAGAAGACAATCCCTATAGTTTCCAGTCGGATGTTTACGCTTTTGGGATTGTTTTGTTCGAATTGCTTGCAGGCCAATTGCCCTACAGTAATATAAATAATAAGGATCAGATTCTTTTCATGGTGGGGCGAGGTGCTTTAAAGCCAGACCTAAACAAACTCAGATCGGATACTCCTAAAGCATTAAGGCGGCTAACTGAAGATTGCATCAAATTTACGAGAGACGAGAGGCCATTGTTTAGACAAATCCACGCATCCCTTGAAGGTTTCTTGCGAAACCTACCAAAAATTCATCGGTCGGCATCAGAACCCAACATGAATCGTACCCAGCTACAGTCAGATGACTTTATATACACGTGCGCCAGTCCCAAGACGCCTGTTAATTTTGGGCCATCCAGCAATTTCCTGTTCTATTCGTCCGGTGCCGGGAACATTTAAGGACTTTCAACCGGCAAAAGACTACTAAATTGGTAAAATAAAAGCTATTTTTATTTGCGCAGGAAACCAATACTATGTGGTACTTTAGCTTTCCAACTTTGTTCACATATTAATAATCAGGTGACGCCACACCTAATTTACTATTATGGTGTTTTTACAAAAAAAAAGCACCGTTAGTAAAATTCCTTGCATTCATGAAACCACACTGATGTAAATTGTTCAGTAAACGTTTAAGGTTTCATATAAAAATATCAATTAATTTCCTCATTATTACAATTATCTCAAAAATATAATTTATTTTACGTTTAAACTAAATTTCAATATGTGGCATATATTATTTGTAAAACAACAGAGTTGTTTTGTATAATAAACAAAATTTAATGATCGTCAATGCTTTATGCTGATTTTCTAGCTCATTTGGAAAATAAATCGTGATAAGAATTAAGAAGTAAATAAAAGATAAATTCAACAAATAGCGTTAAGAAATTTTTAAAGTCTTTCAAACGTGAGTGCCTTTTAAGAAACATTCAATTTCCCTATCAGAATAGTAGAAAATGTAATGATAATTAAAAAAAGAATGCAGGAAACAAATTGCAATAGTTTTGCTGCTTATAATTGAATTTAATAGTTGATTAATAAACTATACATGTCAGTCGTTTAGGATGATAAATATGTGTTGTGGCAATGTTTGTGAGGGAAAGGGGGAGGAAGTTTTTGATTTTTTTTATATATATTTGGAGATGAAATTTTTGTTTTACTAATTTAAGGTGGGCGTAACGATAAACTGCTTGAATATGCACAAAGACTGAAAACCAAACTGTTGATAAAAGCTAAAAGATTAAATCTACATTGGTAAATCATTTTAGGCATAAGCGAATCCTTATGAAGTTTATTGGATGTGGCGTCACTGTGGCTTTCTCATTGTTTTAATAACATTCTTCTTACCTCTGATTAATTACTGTACAATCTGATCTCAGATGCTGATAAATTTCTGAATTTACCAATGAATTAATCAATCTAGTTAACAACCAATCTAATTAATTCAATCCAATCGTTAGAAAGAAGGTAGTTACCTACATAATGTCTGTCTGTCTGTTTCTCAAGCATTTATCATACCTTATGTTAATATTATGATTCTTTTTTCTTTGCATTGCAATTGTTCACTCTTAATATTTGACTTGTGATGATGGTTGTGATGTGTGTTTTTTGTAGATTAGGAGAAAAAAATGAGTTGATTTATTTAAGTTTAAAGTTATTGCATAATGTATTTAAATATGATGTATTATTATTGTTTTTGACTTATAGTTTCTTCAAAGTGAATTGTTTTTTCTTTGAAATTCCCTTTAAACCTTATCTATTGTCTAAATTTAAAACTTATAGGAAATTTAAAGTTTTATCCTTTTTTAATTCATGCATATAATTTGAAATACATTTATCATCAATTAAGTTTCATTTATTTCAGTGGTATTTAAAAAATATTTGTTTTTTGTCGTGTATCGAAATTATTATTCCATTAGACACTGAAATCTCCTCTCAACCATCGTTTTGCGTCTTTGGTATCAGTTCCAAAGGTTTTTCCAAATCTAAGCATATATAAAAAGAAAAGTTTTAATAAAACAATTATTAAATTAAGGCTTATAAGCATAAATAAGCTTCCAAAATATTTTACCTGAAAACGGCCCCAGGTATGTGTCCACCATAATTGGGGATGTGTCCCACATGTGTATGATAAATTTCTGCTGGCTGGACAAGAAGTGGTGGGTCAGGACGACTTGTTGTAACAGGTACCCATTCTGTACCTAATCTTTTTCGATAATTGGAAGTAAAATCTGGCGATTTTAAGTCTTGACATACTGCAGACCGAAATGGCGAGCGAGCCGTGTAGCCTACAATAGAGTTTATAAATTGAAAAAATTATAAAACAATAAATAAAACTTTCGATCCTTCATTAATTAATTTTAAACAGAGCGCATAATACCGGTTCAAACTTACGATATCTATCTTGTTGTGCCCAAGAAGCATATAATCTTTCTTGTGCTGTTCCCATTTTGTTGTAATGTTTATAAATTTTGTATTTGCGTTTCTAATTTGGCAGTTTTTAACATTTGTTTGATAGTAATTTAAATTAAAATCTATCAGTTTCACATGTCACTACCGCCATACTATTTAAAAAGTTTGGCGCCCGCGCTTCTTTTTGAATTTTGTAATGGCTCTGGTATCTTCGATTTTCTCAATTAATTTGAATACAATAAAAAAATTAAAAATTCACCGATTATTAATAGAAATGAATAATTCTGAAAAAATTAATATAAAATGAATATAATCTGTTCAAAATCGACAACGAAATTACTTCCATTACATTTTCGTGTGAGAAATAAGGTAAATGCTGTAAACTAATAAATTTTATTTACATATAAATATAAAATTAAAGCCACTGTATTATTTACTTGCAAAGTGATAAACTTTTTAAACTTTAAGTAAATAACGCGTTTAAGCAATTGATTAAAAAAGATGATAACAAGTATGACGTCCCTAGTAAGTTACAGTTACAATTTCAAGTTTATACACGTCTCAGTTTTCAAATTTTATTGTAATTAATATTTAAGGACAATATTTAGAATGTAAATTGACGCATAATAACAGTTTTTTTCCAAATATCTGTTATGTTGGTTAATGTAAGTATATTTGATAAGTGTAAGTAAACAAACATATTATTTTCTTTCTATTCAGGGACTGGTTACGCAATTTTTAACTGGTATGAAAAATTAAAACAAGGAATAAGTAATTAAGCAGTTGTAATCCTAATACAATATACTTTACTACCTTACTGGCAATAAAAATGGTATTTAATTATTTGGTTGTGTTGTAGGTTAAATGGGCATTCAAGTGATAAGAAATATTTTAAAAAGTACAATTTTAAGTGCATTAAAACATTCAAATATTATAAGGAGTAGCTCAATGAGTGCAGAAATGAGTACGAATAAGAAGAATAAGTTTGATTTGCCTGCAAGATATGCAGGGAGTGAAAAAAGTGTTTGGTAGGTTTCTGTATCATTTATAACATGTATATTTATATAATTTGTAAAGCTTAATGAAGATTTTTTGTTGCTGATTATTTAATATTTGTTTAGGGTTGAGTACATACAACTGGCTTTGGAAAATAAGCCATTGAATTTGGGACAAGGTTTTCCTGACTATGCACCCCCTGAATATATTACAAAAGCCCTAGCTGATTTTCGAAGAAGTCCTGACCCTTTGTTACAACAATATACTCGTGGTTTTGTAAGTTTTTCAATTACATTAAAAATTTATAATAATTTAGTATTGGTTAAAAGGGCCATCCTCGTTTGATAGCAGTTCTGGCAAAACTATACTCCAGACTTTTAGGAAAAGAAATAAATCCACAGACTGAAATATTGGTGACATCTGGGGCTTATGAAGCTCTATTTTCATCAATTACAGGCCATGTAGATGAGGGAGATGAAGTTATCATAATTGAACCTTACTTTGACTGTTATCAACCAATGGTCAAGTCAGCAAAAGGAATTTGTCGTTTTATTCCTTTGAGATTGGTAATGAAAATGTTTTATTACCCCATAAATAATTAGTTTATATTGAATCTCAGGATAAAATTGTGTAAAGAGTGAAAAACAAGTTAAAAACTTTTAAACTTTTACATGTGTAATTTGCTTAGGTTTCTTTAGTTATTCAAAACCATTTAATACTTTCAGTTTTTTAGTGTTACCCAGCTAATGTTTAAACAAAATACAAGGATTATTAATTTTTTTGAGTAATTATACAAGAATTATAATGATGAAACATAAGGAAAGCTTGCCCAAATTACCTTTAATATTGATATGTAAATAATATAACTATAAAATTAGATTTTTTAAAATTTCCTAGTAATTTTGTCAAACTTGAATGTAGGACTTATTGATTATCTTAGACTTTTAATATTAATATCCTAAGATGCGAAATTAGGAGTATTTTGAAAATGTAAGATCCCAAAAAATTACTATGTGCATTTATTATTAATATTTGACAAATTGTAACAGTAGTATACTTTTTAGAAAAAAAATTCAGACGTTGTATCGTCTGGAGATTGGGTATTGGATCGTGACGAGTTGGAGGGTTTATTCAATTCAAAAACGAAAATGATTATTTTAAATACTCCGCATAATCCGCTGGGTAAAGTCTTTACTGAAGCTGAATTAAAGGTAATAGCGGATCTCTGTATAAAATGGGACGTACTGTGTCTGTCTGATGAAGTCTATGAGTGGATGGTTTACAAACCAAACAAACATATAAGAATTGGTAGGAGATTAATTTTGCCTGAAAGTAGTTGAGTAGTTCACTTAATTTGAATAATTTTTAGCCACTTTTCCTGGCATGTGGGAAAGGACAATAACTATTGGTTCTGCTGGCAAAACCTTTAGTGTTACAGGATGGAAAACTGGATGGGCATATGGGCCTGCAAACCTTATAAACAACCTGTTTATGGTTCACCAGAATTGTGTCTACACACATTGTACACCCATCCAGGTAATTAATTCTTTTTCTCCTACCACGTTGAAACTCTGGAACACATTATGTATTTAAAATGTATTGGTTTTTGTTTTTCTCCAAAAGTTTCAAATTGGTATCGTTTTCAAAAGCTTTTCTAAATCTAAAAATATACAATCAAAAACTCTTCGAAAAAAAGAAACAGAAACATCAATGCTAATATGTACCATATTATAATTCGAAAGTAATATTTTTATATTTTCAAAAGTAAATTAAAAAATGCAAGGAATGTTTTTTGCTAGGAAGCTATAGCCATGGGTTTTGAATTGGAACTGACAAGACTGAATTCAGACGAGTGCTTTTTTAACTCTTTACCTCGAGAATTAGAATCCAAGAGGGATTTTATGGGGAAATTTTTAAAGGAGGTCGGTATGAAACCTACCATTCCTGAAGGGGGTTATTTTATGATAGCTGATTGGAGTGCATTAGGTGAAAAAATATCGAATTACCAGATTTTTTCCCAAATATGCTATTATGTATCCACTTTTAAATATTAATTAATATTACTTTAAACATATGTTGTAGCATCTAAAGTCGACATGAATTCTGAAAACGATAAATACAAGGATTACAGATTTACAAAGTGGATGATTAAAAACGTAGGGTTGCAAGGAATTCCCCCCACTGCATTTTACAGCGAACCTCATAAGCATTTGGCTGAAAATTGTGTTCGTTATTGTTTTATTAAGGTAAAATTAATTTATAGCATGATGACGACAATTATACTTAAAATCTTATCCTGTTTTTTTTTTACTTTTTTACAGAAGGACGAAAATTTGAAAAAAGCTGCAGAAATACTAAGTAATTGGAACAATAAAGGAAAATAGTTGAAATTTAAATTATTTACGTTTTATTTTACTTTTATTTACATGTACCTATGAACAGATTTATTTTTGCTATTTACTTTTGGATTTATTTTACTTATCAGTTTAATAAAATATGTATTGTTATAAAAAGTGTTTTTCTTAATAAATTAATTTCCCCCTTATTAAACGAGCTGAAAGTACCAAAATGAATTACAGTTGTTGTGAGGCATCACTGAAAAGTATTCTATGGTTAGAAATTACCTGGGTGCACTTTCTACCCCCAATTTAAAAACGTCCCTTTTTATTTATTGATAAATTAATTTCTCCCTTATTAAACGAACTGAAAGTATCAAAACGAATTACATTTGTTGTGAGGCATCACTGAGAAGTATTTTATGGTTAGAAATTACCTGGGTGCACTTTCTACCCCCAATTTAAAAACGTCCCTTTTTATTTATTGATAAATTAATTTCCCCCTTATTAAACGAGCTTAAAGTACCAAAATGAATTACAGTTGTTGTGAGGCATCACTGAAAAGTATTTTATGGTTAGAAATTACCTGGGTGCACTTTCTACCCCAATTTAAAAACGTCCCTTTTTATTTCTTGATAAATTAATTTCTCCCTTATTAAACGAGCTAAAAGTACCAAAATGAATTACAGTTGTTGTGAGTCATCACTGAAAAGTATTCTATGGTTAGAAATTACCTGGGTGCACTTTCTACCCCCAATTTAAAAACGTCCCTTTTTATTTATTGATAAATTAATTTCTCCCTTATTAAACGAACTGAAAGTATCAAAACGAATTACATTTGTTGTGAGGCATCACTGAGAAGTATTTTATGGTTAGAAATTACCTGGGTGCACTTTCTACCCCCAATTTAAAAACGTCCCTTTTTATTTATTGATAAATTAATTTCCCCCTTATTAAACGAGCTTAAAGTACCAAAATGAATTACAGTTGTTGTGAGGCATCACTGAAAAGTATTTTATGGTTAGAAATTACCTGGGTGCACTTTCTACCCCAATTTAAAAACGTCCCTTTTTATTTCTTGATAAATTAATTTCTCCCTTATTAAACGAGCTAAAAGTACCAAAATGAATTACAGTTGTTGTGAGTCATCACTGAAAAGTATTCTATGGTTAGAAATTACCTGGGTGCACTTTCTACCCCCAATTTAAAAACGTCCCTTTTTATTTATTGATAAATTAATTTCTCCCTTATTAAACGAACTGAAAGTA